AGTTGGTTGCACATATGAATCTCTGTTAGAGAAAGATTACCTGGATGATAATTACATGAAGTTTAATGCACTCAAATACAGTTTATTTTGCAGGGATATGTTTTGGTGAAGATTTCTCTTATTTCTTCATGGGAAACCTGACAAGTACAAAACTATAAAACATTTAAATTTTAATTGAATTTCAGCACAGCTTTATTTCAGACGTATTAATCATATGTATGTTGTACCTAGTTTTATATTACAAGAAATAAATTCGCACATTCAGAAAATTTTTAAATCCTCACATTATTTGAAAAAAAAAAACACAATAAAATCTTGTAGTCTTAGTGTTATTTTCAACAAATGAACACAATTGACTTCCTATTTCCTCGACATTACCTTAAATTAATATATTCCATACCTTTGGTGAGATAAATTGTTTTTATAAGTAAGCACTAGATGTTTAAGTTTGGTGGAAATACTCAATATGTAAAATAGTTTGTACAAGCTTTATTATCGGTTAAACATATTTATCACAAGTTCTCATCTAAAACCATCCTTATTCCTGCATTTTCCTCAAGATCCATACTGAAATTCAATGTCGAAACATTTATATAAAAAAAATTAATAATGTCCATATATAGATGTATTTTAATTTGGTCACTTTTAAAGCAATGTTTGTTTGCCCTATCCCGACTCAGGGTGGAAAAATTGGGTAGGTAGGTGGGAATTTTTTCCCCCAAGAGAATTACAATATCAATGCTGAGTTTTTCAAAATATATTACAATAGAATTTAAATACATGAACTTGTTGACGGGATGAGAAAATTCTGGAATGAAAAGAAAAAAAATATCGTTTCTTGTATGTTAGAAAAAAATTGAATCGGGCCATTTTAGCAAGTCGGTCGGGAGAGGACAAACAAACATTTGTTTTAAAGATAGCCTAATTTATAATTTTTTCATATTGTGTTGTTCCTTTTTCTCAATGTACATGTCTTGTTTTGGTATCATTTCTTTTGTCCTTTATATCTAGGACTTCGAAGAAGCACAAACAATGTAATAATCCAGACTGGACTTCACTAAATTTTAATTCTAATTTAGTTTGCATATGAGAGTGTTTTCCAAATGTATCACTGTCACGGTAGCTCAGTCGGTAGAGCGCTCGCTCTGTGATCGGAAGGTCGTGTGTTCGAATCACGGCCGCGACTGACTTAAGTCGACAAAAACAGGACGCAACTGTTACTTCGCCAAGCGCTTGGCACTTTGAAGTGAAAGTTAATTGTGGGTCTCTCGGATGAGACCGTAAAAACCAAGGCCCCGTGTCACAGTAGCGTTGGGACGATAAAGAACCCTCACTTGTCAATGACCCTGAGTGCCGAGTAAATCTAAAGGGGAAAAAATATTTGTATATAGAACGTTTATATATTTAAGGAATCACTGTCTAGTTATGCCCGTTATGCAAATTATCCCACGTTTCCAACTACCGTTGATGTCCCTGGCATACTCTACTAACTAGACAGTGATTCCTTATATTTTCATTTCATTTTGAAATAAAAATGTAAATTTAGATTTTAAAAATGTAGACTAATAGATTTAAATTACACGAGGCCTCACATGTCAATTTCAATAGTCCCCGCCCACTGACGTCAAACACAAAGACAGCCGCACGAGAATTACATGCATATTAGGCCTTCTTAGCTACTGACCTTTTCGCTTGTCAAAATTTGCATTCCTTTAGAACGATCAAGAAATCAACTCTCCTAACTTTCAAAGAGTTATCACAGAGAAAACAAATAAAATGGAAATATTACGTAATAGACGCTATCCGTAAACCGGCAGCTACCCGGTAGCTGCCGTGTATTAGCAGCTCCAGCGGAGCTGCCCCTAAAATGTATAGGGCGTGCACTCACGCCTGGGGGAGTTAGTTACGGAGTTAGTTACAGAGTTAAAGAGTCAGTTTTGAGTCAGATATTATGTTGTGCTTGTGATTAATAGAACCATGTAATAAACTTGTCAACTGATTACTGGAATTTTTTAATTTACGCTACCAAAGGAGGAAAAACATACTTATATATGGGATACTGAGGATTTTAATAAAGTCTAAAGAGGATTTGAAATAGCAGAAAGGACCGCACGCTCGGTCCCGCTACATAAAGCTAAATTTGAAGTTCTTCACCGGTATATGGTGAAGTCTCTATATGAGTGAAAAATTCTCTTTAAATAAAATACAATCAATCAATCTAAATGTATCTTACATGTATAAATACATTCAAACCCAGTAATCAAAACAGAGACAACTTCATTTTGATAACTCAGTCCACGTTATATTGATTTTCGTTTTTAAAGTGTCACTTGCAGTGCTTGAAGGGGTCTTGAAATGAAATATGGAGATAACGAACAGTAATCAAGTTCAACAGTCCATTGAAATAATACAAATCGGGAGGAGAGCAAACACGGACCTCTAAAACTATCAGAGATGGGGTCAGGTGCCATGGAGGAGTAAGCATCCCCTGTCATACCCGCCGTGTGCTCATTGTCAAGATCGGACGAACGGAAAAATTCGTTGACATTTCAGTGTTTAAATGATGACCTAACGATTAGTATGAAAAACGTCAGTCGACTTAATGATAGATTGTATTTGCTTTCTTATCAACTTTGAAACAGAATTTTCTCCTTCATAGTTTTAATTCATAAAATCACTTGAAAAATTACTTGAATGTTTTCATGATATTCTTTATAATTGGAACCGTATGAATATATCAGAATTTCGAAAAATTTGCTGACTGAAGAAAGGGGAACTTAATGCTTGTAATGCATAAACTTAAGGTAACTCATACTTTAATAACAATGTTTATTCTTTGTACAATTTGTTTATTACTAAACACGAGACACGTGTATCATATTCCTAAATAGGAAACCTAACCATTACAGAGGTTTAATATTTAAGTTTTAATTGATTGTATATAACAGTGGGGTTCTTTTTAATTTCGAAAAAAAAAACTATTCTTTGCACTTTTATGATCTCAAAAATTGTTGACATTCTGTAATAAATTATTGAAGTCTCTTAATAGACTTAAGGTATAATATTCAACAAAATTGTTAAACTTTACCTTAATTAAAACCCCAGATATCTTAAGTACTAACAATACTGTGCGTTGATTACTCAGCACTAGTTTGATTTACATCTGATAAGTGCTAGGAATATGTCATTGTATAAAAGTAATGAAATCTTCCACACACAAAAGAAAGACTGAAAATAAGTATGCGCATTTAGGTAAGAACTGTGTTATTAAGAAAGAGAAATACAGCGGAATCATTGATATATTGAGTAATCTATGACTTTCCATATAAAATAACATTACCATAACCATAACGGTAATGGTTAAATTGATTGTTAGCATGATTATTGTCAATCCACACATTGTACATTGTATTAACAAAATATAGAAAAATGCTTATATGGGAAGGGGGAAGGGGAAAAAACTATGATTTTAAAAAGAAATTTTTCGAAAATTCAGGGTAAATTGTACACACATTCAAAGTGGTTTGTATTTAAGAAAAGTTTACTCATGTGCTTTACTTTTCCTCAAATAAAACCTTTAACATACAGTATTCATTGCTTTTAATCCTTTTAATTTATTTGCTCTTTCACAAAACTACTAAGGATTTAACCACAGTTATTCCAAATAACTAATCTCTTCTGAACATCCTCCTAATTTCCGTTCCCCTCTGTTTTAAACAGATCACATTTTTGAGTTTTCAAAAATTATGTTAACATGTACATAAATAGGAAATACTTTAAAATGAAATAGCATATGACAGTTTTAATGAAATATAGGGAAAACATGTACAAACTGTCATATTGTATGAATATTTTCTTCCAAATTTAGCTTTAGGTTTTTTTTTTTCAAAATGATAAATATGTTCGTCGACAATATCTATAACATGTGTTATCTTTCCTAAATCATTGAATTAGCATTTACGATGATTAGTAATTTCACTGTTAAAAAAATACATGTCAAATTGACACAGTCCTTCAGGTAGCTCTAATCCTATGTAATTTCTTTACACTCTGTGCAAATCCTTATGAAAATATTTTTATATAAAGTGACACTTTCAACAAAGGGGTTGAAGCAATGATAAGGTTTTTAACACGGACATTGATCAAGAAATGGAACACGAAACGGAAAATGATTCAGCTTATATTCAAAGGACATGGTAAAGTTTTAACCTAGTGCAATGTACTTACCCGGTCAAGAATAGATGTATATCTCTGAACGCACAAAACTATCGTGATCTTGTTCATGAGAGTACAGTATTATTTAACATTTAATAATGAAGCATATAAGTTGAAAGATATTTTTAACATCTTTTTAGCCATTTTTTAAGAATTGGACATGCTTTAATGTATCTGAAAGGAAATAAGTTTAGATCACATAATTTAGAAGAAAATAAACATACATATGAAAAAAAAAAAAAGAAAATTGATAAGGAATCTTTTCAATTGCAATCCTTTGATTTCAACAAAGTGTAGACTGTATTTGAAGGCGACCTTTTGCTCTTTCCTTTAAATTGTTATATATTTGCCCTGCCCTACAGTAAGTCTACCGCCTTTTTGAATTATAATCTCAATAGTGTGCCATTATCTATTAAAGTCTTCATAATTTTGGTGATGCTCTAGGCCCTTTATCGTTCATGTCTTGGTCAAGACAGTAATTTACGATAGCTCAAATCTAAATGTACCATCCATAATGTCCAATTGTCAATATTTACTCGGAGGGAGCATATATATGTAGTCATTAATAAACAAATAGAGTGGGTTTAAAATTCCACTGAGAAGGCCGCGGTATGGCTCGCTGACCCCAGAAATAGAAGTTCCATGCATTTCCGTTTCTAATGAATGAGGTGCTAGATTCACTACTGAGATGAAAACACCGTGACGTCAAGAACGGAACAATGATGAGTGCACCCCGTCCAATCTGGGGTATATTATATAAATACTAGTGGCCTAGTTTTGTTCATACAGAATATGAAAAAGCTAGGTTATAATATAATTCATGTAACAAGCGATACACACCAGGATTAAGGCTTTGCCAGAATCCATAGTGAGCATCCAATATCAACAAGTACATGTGCTATCGCAGCAATTGAACGCTTTGCAGTAATGATACTCAGGGAATTTGCAATATTTATTTGTATTCTAACTGGATTTCCATCTACAAAAGCACGGTATATACCATCCGTTCTGGTGAATGTGAAAGGAGAAATGCCCACGGCCAAAATCGTCATCAATGTCATCAGAAAGCGCGCCAAATACTGGGATTTCTGGCAGGTCAACAGTCGTAAGTAGTTATGTATGGAATGTAAACTAAAAGTTTTTTTTTAAATCTTTGCATTTTTTCCCTAGTTAATGTTAATTTTCTCAAAAATCGCAGAAGTGACTTCTAGATGACACTGTGTCCCATTAAGTATATATAATCAATGAGGGTAGCTTTTCGGGTTACTTTAACGCGGTACGTGTAGATTCCGTACTTGACTGCGATTTAAACCTTATTCAACCTACTAAAATTTTGCAACGTTTGGTATTTACATTCTTGGGTTATCAATGAAAAAGATTCTATAGACTTTGTACATAGGTAGTTCATTTAAGACGATCGACTTTGCAGAAAAGGATTCCCGCTAAGCCTCAGACGGTTTATCGCTGTGCAGTAAAAAGGCATTCATTATAGAACATTTTCTCTGTTAGTGTAATCTGTCGATATGTTTATCTTTCTACCAATTAGAAACCGTAAGTGCGAGATTGCATTTTTAACACACAGCAAATCATTGTACATGGTTTGTTTTTTGTATCAATGTTTTCAAATAAATACATGTCTACTTCGATGAACAATAAATTGAAAAAAAAAAAAAAGGTCTGCAGTTGTTGAATTCTTCAACAATATTTAGCAATTAAACAGTAATTATGTATTGACATCGTAATATAATAATTTCACATTCTTCAAATATCGACTTCAAAAGTTATAAAATAAGCTTATCTATCCAATCCTTTTCAAGTATCGAAAACCTTATAGATAGATAACTGAATGAAATATATTGTATCTTTTACATTTCTAAGGGTCACGTTGGATTTCAACAGATGATCCAACTAACCTTGCATTACCTTGATTATACTGACCGTAGCACGATAAAACATCTTGAGAATTTCATTCACAAGTCAATGTTGTTTAAACTTCATCTAGCCTCTTATATCAAGAAGATAAAAATTATCAATTTATTTATAAAACATTAAGCATTGATCTATATAATTCATTTCTTTCTTGGCAAAAATGTGTTGTTTTCCATACATATTGTTTATTACACTTCCAACTTCCAAAATTTACATTACTACTGCAAGCTTTCGTTTCTAAGAATAAAAATATTCAGTGGATGATTATGCGCTATCCAGTACACCGACTGTTCACTGAAAGGTGACTGAATGACAGAGCTCTGCCATTCAGTCACCTTTCATTAACTTTCAGTCTCCGTACATTTAACTGAATGACATTGTTTTATCCCGTGATTGAATGTAGAACAATTTTTTACTTCCTGCGTCATTGTGGAAAATATTTTACATTTAAAGATCTTATGGCATTCACTTTTTTTGCCTAGAAATGATCGAAGGAATCATAAAGAATATTTTAAAATCAATTTCAGATATATGCCCGCCCTCATTATGCTTTATGAGAGAAAATAAACGTGTGAAGCCCAGAGGCACTGGTAAGTTACCATTTTACTCACTAAAGACCACCGATTAGTTTCAAGCGTAAGATATACACTCAAGACTAAGCTTTATCTTTAAGAAAAAAAATAATGTGTTCATATTTATTGTATATAATATATGAAGGTGGACTGTAGGCATGACGTGGATAAAATGCATAATTTTGGGCCCGAAAACTTTCAGGTGACAGTGCTTTTTACAATGGTGACATCGTCCTTGATGAAAAGGCTGCAGACATGATGTATGGACCTGTTGGGAGACGTCGAAAACGAGCGACAACCCGAATGAAAGATCGGTTATGGAAAGATGGGATAATGTACTATCAATTTGCGCCATCACTTTGTGAGTTCTTTCTCTCTTTCTCACTTTTATTTCGGATAGAAAAGTCTATGTATCTCATATATCGACAACATTCCTTGTAGTTTTCAATGAATTTCACTCATTGGAGGAGAAGAAAGTAAATATGTTTGTGTAATTATCGACTTAAAGCCATTTTCTCCGTTTTTGAAAATAACTTTCAAACTTTTTTTTATCATTGATATGTATATGATTTCTGCGCTGAGGAGGTTTAATTTAAGATTGACGCAGTTAAGTCAACCTATTTTTACACAATGAAATTAAGACTTACCTTATCTTTCACCTCTCACTTCACGTCCTATTAATTTTGATAATTTATTATCGTTTAAAACATTTTAAATAGAAACTGGATGTCTTGGTCTCTTTTGTGTATAATTTTGAATCACCTCTTTCATTTTAAAGGGCTATTTATTGATAAAAGAGTGTCCAATTTCAATATTGCCATTGTCATTATAAATGTCAAATTATCTTTTGTGTTCAAATTTTATTTGATATTTAATATTAATTTTATAAGATATGTCATATATGATAATGCATGCATAGTTTTTAAAAGTGAACCTTTCTATTAATTGTTTGAAAAATTTATGGTTTAAAATATGCTTCAAAACAAAACATTTAAAAGAACACCAGTAAATATATTACTGTGATAAAATACTAATATTTTCGCTTTGACAAATTTTCATAAAAAAGAATCATTTCAAAATGCAAAGTCTTATTTATTTTTGTAAAAGAAAAAACATTTTCAAGATATCTGAAAATAATGTTAAAAACACAACTTTTATTATTTTTCTCTAGGAAGACAGACCAGTTTTTCCTTGTAAAATTCAAAAATATATTTGAAAAAAAAACCATATCAGTTACCGTTGGTTGGTGATTACTATACAGCTTTGTAAAATAGGATAATGTACTTATGTACTACAATAAATATGTCAACAATACTGATAGATTTAGTCTGTTTTTCTTTCATTTCATTTTTTAATTAACACTTTAATTATAAGATTTTTATTCATCAGCTAGGTCAGCCAGAAAAGCGGCAAAGAGGGCAATGGAGCATATATCCAATAAGACATGTATAGTATTCAAAAAGAAGAGGAAGAAGAACCCGGATTTTGTTAGATTTATCAGTGAACCAGGGTACAGTATTTGATTTTGTTAGATATATCAGTGAACCAGGGTACAGTAGTTGATTTTGTTAGATTTATCAGTGAACCAGGGTACAGTATTTGATTTTGTTAGATTTATCAGTGAACCAGGGTACAGTAGTTGATTTTGTTAGATATATCAGTGAACCAGGGTACAGTAGTTGATTTTGTTAGATTTATCAGTGAACCAGGGTACAGTAGTTGATTTTGTTAGATATATCAGTGAACAAGGGTACAGTAGTTGATTTTGTTAGATTTATCAGTGAACCAGGGTACAGTATTTGATTTTGTTAGATTTATCAGTGAACCAGGGTACAGTAGTTGATTTTGTTAGATTTATCAGTGAACCAGGGTACAGTAGTTGATTTTGTTAGATATATCAGTGAACAAGGGTACAGTAGTTGATTTTGTTAGATTTATCAGTGAACCAGGACACAGTAATTGATTTTGTTAGATTTATCAGTGAACCAGGACACAGTATTTGATTTTTGCTACTTATCTTATACAGCAATAATTTTTTCCTCCCAAGTTATGTTTCACCATTCAAATGATAGTAAATTACTGCATATGATACAAAAATATAATATTCATCAGGTATTAGTGTGTAAGTGAAATGCTAATTGTGAAATGAAAATTTCGGCAATTTCTTTTGTAAACGTCAACATCTTTATGACGTCGCGCAAGGAATTGGGGCCCATTTTGTAACGTCAAAATAGCGTCATTAAAACGCTTAAAGTTTACGTTCAAGTGAAAGTACTGAAACATCCCAATCAGAAATGTTGACTTTTTCTTACGAGAATCTTTTTTTTTATTATCTTGTCTTCTTTCATTCTCTTTTTCCTTCTTTTTTCACTAATTAATATTTTATTCTGCTGATGAAAGATTTGTATTTCCCTTTAAAATGGCAAGTTTGCAAGTAAAACTATTTTTGACGTTACGTTGTCTAACTCTAAGCACGAAAACGTTAAATATTGAATGCGTAACAAATTAGACTAGACATCCAATTTTTGCTCTGTTTTCTTTAAAAAGGTTTAACTTCTTTCTATTTTTTTGATATAAAATTTTATTTATTAGAGCATTTCGAAAATAAGATTTTTATCGATAACAAGTATTCCATTCCACTTAAAACAGAAAAGAGATCACATCTGTGATATACGTCTCGGAAAATATCATAATACTCTTATTTGTTTCATAGTAACAAAACCGACTAGACATCAAAATCACTCTACATCTCTTCAATTACTTGCTTATATCTTTTTAAAGAAACATGTGTATCCTTCTTGATTTGCACATTTTATTTCTCCCTTTAGCTTTATCAAAATAACTTGTTATACGGGAAAAATTCTTTACCAAACATTCCACCTCTTTGTTACTTGTCAAAATCACGGCATATTACCAAATGCTATTTTTTTAAGAACAGTCGGAATCGGCCAGTATTGGAAATTTATTAATGAATTTTGTATGACATCATCATAGGACATTATAGAAGCTTTGTGCAAATTGGCGAAAGATCCATGTGACCAAAACGAAAAAATGACTAAAAACTACTAGCGCCCGTCTTTTAGTGTTACAAGTTACGCAATTACGTTACTCAGTCCTATGCGCGACGTCTATATATTCTCTTTATCTTATTACTTTTAATATTAAGATGAAGGTATCAATTATTTATCTATTTACCGAATTCTACGTTATCATAGTACTGTTCCTTAATTTTAGGTTTCTGGATTTTTTTTTAAAAAAATTATAAATACATTCCTCTCATTTCACCTTTACAGCTGCTGGTCAAATGTAGGACGTGTAGGGGGTCTTCAGAATCTGAGTCTTGGCTACGGATGTGAAAAAGTGGGTACTGCAGTTCACGAAATAAACCATGCACTCGGATTTTGGCATGAGCAGGTCATAATTTTAAAATCATGATTTTTTATATTCTTAAAAGAAAAAAAAGGGAAATCAATATGTGTGCTTTATTTGAAAAGAAAAAAAGCCAGAAAATGTTAGTCAATGCTAGTTTTAAAAGTAGGAAGATATATTAACTCGAAGTTGGTTTTCAATTTTTTAAAAAAATTATTTTAGGCCCGATCTGATAGAGATAAATATGTGGAAGTGAATGAGGATAACATTTCTCCAAACTATCTTGGTGATTTTGAGAAACTAAATAAAACACTGGCCGTATCACGAGGGTATGCATACGATTATTCCAGTATCATGCATTACAGTGAACGGACATTTACCAACAATGGGCTCAAGACAATTAAGGCAGGTGATTAACTTGTGGTCGATATCAAGTATATGGATTCATTAGAATAAATGTTTGATGATCTTACATATATTTTATGTGGTAGGTGATAGGTATTGGGAAAGAATTGGCTCTCAGGATTGGCCAGCGTGAGGCCCTCAGCAATATCGATATTGCGCAATTGCGAGATATGTACTTTTGCAATCGGAAGCAAGATAATGATGAAACAAGTAAGTGAATTCTTACATAGAGATATACATTTAATAAACATATATTTTTGCATTTCTGTATTTTGATACAATAGCAAAGAGAAGTTCTAAAGGCGGCTCTTATATTTGCAGTATGCCCAAAAGATTGGATTAAACACAAACGTAGCTGCTATAGATTTCTACGGCGTCCTAAGCTTCAGTACGCCGCCGCCCACAAAGAATGCAAGCAGTCCTTTAGCACTCTAGTTCATATTAATACTGCAAATGAAGATAGATTTTTAAAACAATATTTAAAGAAAAACTTCAAAAAGTCGATAAGATGGCGAACAGGTGCTCGTAGAATAAATGATACCTTTGAATGGGACAACGGAGAAGACCGGAAGACTAAACCTATGACCTTTACTGCTTGGAATGGTCGTCCCCCGGAGGGATTTTCTACCATGGTTCTTGGGCGGGAGAATGCAACATCTGATTTTGCATGGGAAGGGGCATGGACAGGATCAGTCTCACAACTTCCAGACCACACATTCTCTATTATCTGTGAACGGAAGGCGAGACGTATGTACATGTATTATGTAATCAAATCAAAATAATCCTTGATTACAGGTATACTTGAAATTACAAAAATAGGTCAGCAATTAAAAAAATATCCAAAAATACCTGGATTTGTCTGATATGAAATTCTTTAAAAAGAGTTTTTGTAATTTTTTTTTATCTCTATGTGTCTAATTTTCCCATAGGTAAGTGCTTGCCTCTAGAATTCGAGGATGGACGGGATTATCGCGGGGAACTCAAGCACACTCTATCGGGGATCACGTGTCAAAAATGGACATCTAAATATCCTCAACGGCACAGTCTACTGGCAGGAATTACCGCAGATGTAAACCCAGACGGTCTTGGGGATCATAATTCCTGCAGGAACCCCTTTCGCATGCGAAGAAAAAGACCTTGGTGTTTTACTACGAAAAAGAACGTTGAATGGGAGTATTGTGACGTCACTGTTTGTAAAGGATCTCAAAATAACACAGTCAATAATAAAGTCAATTCAAAGAACAGTATATCTGAAAATTTTGAAGAATACTCAAATAGTATATCAGAAGATTAGGAGAGATAGCGTTAATCAACCGTAGAAAAACCAGTTATACATAAACTGTCATAAAGTATTATACTTTTATAGATAAAAGGACCGTAGAACAAATATGTGTATGCTTTTTGTTATATCAAATAAAATCTATTGTCCAAGATACTATTTCATTCTTTTTCTGTAAAATGGAAGATGGATAACGGTATGTTTTTATTTTTATCATTTAATCATACGTCTGAAAACTCCCGTATGTATTTTAATAACTCTTCCTTAAGAAATGTTTGAGAATGAAGTCCATCAGAGACAAATCATTGTTAATTAACTGCCATTTGAGATATTTTAAAATTCCAAATTTATGTCATTTCATTCCTGATAAGACTATGGACACACACCCATTGCTGAGTCTTTCTACATAACTATTTATGCCATTCGTTTCATTTTCTCCTGTAACAAAAGAGATATATTTTTATTGGTCTACATTAAATCGAACCTTTTCGAGCGCTTTCGAATACGTTTTATTTCCATTAGTGAACTCTTCAAAATTAGAGGCGCGTTTGGTCGTCTGACTGGGACAGCATGGCGTTGCGGATAATACAAAACATGCCAACCTCAATCCAATTTTAAATGTTAAATGTATTTGTCATTCCAATTAAAGAATAGACGAACTAAAAGACATATGTAAGAGAGCGAGAACCCTAAATTTATCATCCATTAATAAAAAATACGACATTTCCCAGGCATGTGTATTGTATTTAAATGTATCTTACGATAAATAGATACATACGATCAACAATAGATATAAATTGATATCGTTGTCATTTCTACTCTTAATGTATATAAAGTCCACAACAATAAAATATTTCATCTGCATTTTGTTAGAATTTGTTCATCGACATTCAACATATTGTTTACATGTTTATGTTACGTGTGTCCCAGAAATCCCACGAGATTTGTACATTTTCCGACTTTTTCACAAAAGAGCGCACTAAGAAGTATAACTCTTCAATAGTGGAAATAGAACGTATTCTTACAGAAAATTTCGAAGGGTCACATAAAAAGACTAGGTGAGAGAACTCTTGGAATTAAAATGTTTTGCGTGAGGCTCTGGTTTATTACAAATAAAACGTATGTAAGAAATTTAGACAGATGAACATTCATTTAATGACTGATGTGGAAAAAACCATATAAAATCAGCGGTAAAAGATCTTGATTACATGGAGGCGGCTCTTACTTTTCTATTTTGCAATTACCTCTAAAGTTGAAGATATCTGATTATATTAACTCAATTTAATTGAGTGGTTTTATATGTGACTAGAGTTTAATCGAATATCAATTCACAGTTTTGGAGTTAGAACGCAGCGAAGTCAACTGAGGTTGTCCAAAAAGATAAGAAATTTCTGGCATGTGAGGAAGAATTATTTATTGTGCTTGAATTTGTTGTATTATTGTCGTAATATGTATTTTAAGTTTACATAATTCTGAATTAAGAGTCAATTCTCGCCTGTATATATTTAATGTATAATAATTTTATCCAAAATATACTGGATTTTTTTTTCAATTCAGGTGAAATTCAAGAAATTTTAATTCAACATTTGAAATTCAAAATTGATTTAACATATCTAATAATACATGTTTATGTAGATGTTTGTTCCTCCATGAAACGCCTCTTTTACTCCGATATTTTTCCTCTTAAAAAAGATTTTAGCTCAGAGTTAATTTAGAGATGTCTCCCTAGAATTTGGGTATAAAAGATAAGATTAAGGTCAGAAAAGTTACGTGCACTCTAAGACCGCGGTATTCACGTCACCTTTACCTGCAGACTACTAGTATTCCATTCCTCAATAAATAATTTAATAATTAATTTGTACAGAAAAGATTGCTCGTATGATTTAAGGTATAAGTAATTAAAAAATTCAGATTCCTCTTTATCTGAAAAATGCTTACGGACATCACAATCATTTAATAAATCAAGATCATTTATGTATCTAATCTCTAAGCCATTGCATCATTTAATATATATACGAGACATATTGAAGTTGTTCAAAACATCAATAATGTTCTTGTGGTGTATAAAAATAGTACTGTAATTGTGGCCAATTTATATGAAAATAATGTAAATTTGCTTACCTTGTGAATGGCCATCTGCAAACTTATTTTGTTAAAATAACTTACTGATTTTACACACAAGTACAAAAGAGATGCTTGAGTTTCTCATTGACAATATATATATGTAATTTTTCATTCCATGTTTCCAACAATCTGTTGGAATTCCTATCGGTAATAATTGTGCCCCGTTATTAGCAGATCTGTTTTGTATTCCTATGAAGTAGAAGTTATTAAAAAAAACTTCCACATGAAAAGAAGTCTCTTGCTATGACCTTCAATTCAATATTTAGGTATATCGACGACTTTTTATCTTTTATCAATTAACAATATTCATTTTATTCCTACGTTGATTCGATATATTCTATTAAACTCGAAGTAAAAGACACCGGAGAGTCATAATTACAATTTACCTGTGATATGTATATTAATACGTCTTCTATACTTACATGTACTAATTATTTATTTATTACTATAAGTATGCTCACTCTGATGTTTTTTACACCTTATAAAACTGTATATTATATGTTTAGTTATTGCTTTATGTACTCTGATGTGTCGTGTGACAAAAAGAAATAAAGAACTTGAACTTCTAAACTTGACACATCTGTTTCTTATTTGGTTGTTTTACTAGAAATAGACATTTATGGCAAACTAACAAATAAACGTGATGACTTCAATTTTTGTCTATCGTCAACTTGCTTTATTCATGTAGCAATACCATTATCACCTGCATATGGTGTTTATGTCTCCAAGTTGATTCGATACGCAAGAGCATGTTCTACGTACGAACAAAACGAGGCAAGCTGTTGACAAATAAGTTGACGATATAAGATTCTGTCAATCTCGTTTAAAGTCAACATTTAGCAAATTCTATTACCGGTATAATGGCTTGTTTACAAATAAGGAAGTCTTTCATAGAAATATTGGTAGGCAAATATTTTCATGCTGTATTGTCTACGGATTTTTCAATTTACCTGACAATGTAAGGAGCCTACGGCGGGTGTAACTGGTCGACAGAGGATGACTTCTCCTACATGGCACCTGATCCCACCTCTGTTTTCAGAGGTCTGTGTTAGCTCTGCAAATAATTTGTATTGTTAAATGGGCTTTTGAGCAAGATCACTCTTCGATTTCTTTACATTTCATTTGTTATGCTCATTGAACTTATACTTACATGATAGCAATCAATACCATAGAACGTCCCATTCTAATTATACTAGTATGGGAAATATTAACAATTCCAAAATTATCATAGCTTCTAGGAGATAGATCCTAGACCTACTCTACTATCATTAGGTCAACAAGCCCCCGTCCAAGTGTCCTCAGCACATCTGAACATAGTGAATTCGGCTGCTCATTCTTTTTTTTTTATGTATGATCATATTTCTGTATCACCTTTTAATTACATATTTAGTTTCAACACAATAACTAGTCCTGCAAGAGGAGAAATTAATGTATGATTAGTTTTTTAAAAAACGAATTTGAACGTTATTTAACCACTTTTCAGCATTTCCACATTTTTCCTTTTTTATGTTACTATAACATACATGTATTTCAATATTACTATAACTGACGTAAAATATTTTGTGCACTATTATTTTTGCTAGCGCTCTCGAGCGCTAGCAACTACGTTAGTCTATATTTCTGAAATACGCATGCTCGACTTCACGGTCGGGGATTCTGGGAAAACTACTGTAGATAGACTGTACGATAACAATTTCGTTTTTTCATACAAAAATAGAAATGATCCGAATTTACACTGGCCTTTCCTGTCTGATATGCGCGATATACATTTCGTAGGTTAGAGACAGTCAATACCAGTCTAGATCTGGATTCTGAATTTTTTTTTAATTTATTGTCTAACCTACACATAAAAGTACAAGAAAAAATTTGGCCATATAATGCCAAGATTCTAGACATCTAGCTTTCCTTACAGTTTTACCACCTTAGTGGATAATTCCGGCAAGCTCGGAAAAAACGACAACAACAAAAATCTTTTTCAGAGTATTTCGGAAAGACATGTCAATTTAGTGTTTATCATCTGAAAATACATATGATCTGAAGTTTCGTGTTTTGTTGTCTAACCTGCACGTAAATGAACAAAAAGTAACAGTATCTCGGGTCTTATAAAACCAAGACTGTTATTTCTAAAGTTGTAATGAATACAAAGCTTTTCTAATCTACCTTCATGGATCTTTCCGGCAAGCTCGGAAAACCGCGGCAACCTCGGATATGTTTTCCGAGCTTGCCGGAAAGACCCAAAGGTGCTCATTGGTTCTACTGACCTTTTATTTTTCACCTCGAAATTGAAATTACAGTAAAATACAGAATGCTTAAAGCACAGTTAGGAGTTATGCCATTGCCGACGTGAAGCACACTCTTAGATTCACCATTCTGAATTGTGACACCCCCCCCCCCCAAACTCGACCCCCAGTGCACCAATCTGCCTTCCTATTAATAATTAATCGATTCAGCAAATTTAACAAATGGTTCAGATATCTTCTTCTGTATTTTATTATGCTACAGCGCTAGCTCACCAATCTTTTTAAAAGATAAGCTTGTCGAACCATAGTATTACTTGTGCACCGGACATGTAACCAGATTGAATAAATGATTGTGTATGCTACCTTGTACCTTAAACAGAGCGAGAAGCATTGCAAGATCCAGAAAAAGCCTGGGAAATTGAGGTAGGGGCCTACAGAAAAAAGAAATTCAACACAGTCATTGCGTGGACCCTGAGGTCCACGCAGAAAATATATTAGCGGAGTTAAACCGGATGCCATGGGCTTACGTCAGGCTACGCATGCGCGAGGATGCTAGAGAGTTCGCCTCTAAGACAACTTGCCCGTTGAACAATTCGCCCTATTCGAATTAGAATATGCCAATCATTGGCAAACCTCGCTCTAAAATCTGCACATCGTATTTATGTATTCTTTGGCGTAACCAAGATCTGAATTTCTCTTTAATACATATATCCTTATATACAAACTAAATTCTATGGTGCAAGCATTTTAAATAAGTAGGAAGAACTTATAGAGATAGCTTAACAGCTTGAACATGTTGAATTAAAACGACTAGGTTTTAAAAGATAGTCTTTGCCATGTTTACCGGCATTAGTTTTGTGCATCAAGGTTTGCAAAATAATTTGATAGACAGCAATCCAAATATAGCTTGATAAAGGCCTGTAGCAATGTTTTTCCATGTGGGGGAGAGGGAGAAACATCAAAAAAAAAATTCTGCGTACTACAGATCTGTGCTACACGTGTACCATCTATCATTCCAATGATAGGATACTTCCGTATAAATCTAATATCAGATGTCAAGTCCCAGCCGTTAAGCATTACATGTATCGAAATAGCCCGATTTTTTTTCTCAGTTAAATGACAAAACTATTGGCCAATCGGGAATAAAATTTAACAACTTTGCTACGAAAGTACAATCACTCAAAGTAGGCAGATCATTGTAGAAAATGTTAACGAAAGGTAAAACTGTGCCACCTTTCAGAGTAACCAATGAACTTGTCCATGGATGCATTGACGGTCGTTGTAACAAAAATAGATATGGGTTACCCCATATCCAAAATATTCGACTTTTAATTTACTCCAATTTTCACTAGAAAAAAAAACTGTACATGTTATGAAACTGGTGTATAGTTCTTCATGTCTGTAGCAAATACCGTCACCAGTCTAAGCGTCACTAGCAAACAGTACACACACCTGTGCTAGCCTAGGTCTACACACGTGCGATAAGATTGTCAATCGCATCATCTCAGACCTTCTGCCGAGAAGTTACGATTGCAGGTGTTGTATTTTAACCATTCCGTTATTTAAAAGAGACAGAAAAACACACACACACACACATACAAAATTAATCTTTTTTGTGTGTTTTTAAATTGATCGAGTTAATCTATAACTTAGCATTGTTTAAGATAACTCGAGGCCCTTTAGTAAAGGGGAGGGGGGGTTCTAAGTCACACCACAGGCACTTACATTCAAGCCCGTAGCAACGGTTTTCAAAGGGGGCAACCTCCAAAAAGAGTTGACAAGCAGAATTAAATAAATAAATTAACAACCTGTGCACCACCCTGTAAAATCCTATTTAAGGGGGGGGGGGGGCTTCGTCTAACTTTTCGGTACATTTTGATTTCTTTTAAATGTTTGATTTTCTGTATTTTGAACCTTTCCGCAACAAAAAGTGCGGGGGAGCTTCCAGTGCAAATTGAAACTTATATATTCAAATTCTAACAAAAGATTTTTTTTAAGAAAAAGTGAGCCTCCCTCCCTCACATACTACGGGACATTTTGAACATTTCTCTTGATTGATTAAAATATCCCCATAATATAAGGAGATAAATATTGTCCTTTACAAAAATTTTGATATTTCTTAGGCAAAATTTGTACATGACAATTAATTGTCATGTACTTTTGCATAAGAAATATCAAAATTTTTGTAAAGGATAATATTCTCTTATGGATACTCCCTTTCATGACTTTTTATGCATACTTCTTACAGTTAGTTACTTTAGAAGATGGTCCAAAAATGGCATAGCCGTACGTTCGTTCGCTGGAATCTTCCGATGATATCAAAGTGAAATATTTCATGTTACATGTGGGTGGTCGAGGCCCAGGACCGGTATTGTGAAGGTACACGGAGGAAGCAATAAGCAAAACTCTATCTAGAGAGCAGAAAGGGCAGAGATTGAAGTACTTCATATTTTATTGAAAATACTAGATGTAAAAAATTATATATATTACAGAATAAACATTCTCTCTCTCTTCCTCTTTCTGCAAAAATGAAGGGGGTTCCAACACCCGAACCCCCCCCCCCCCCTGGATACGCCAATGGAGATTACGATACCTGCACGCTTAAGCCTCTTTTTCTTCTGTTGTTAATTTTAAAGGCTAAATTACAATTGTGATAGATACCTAGATCAACATTTCATATTCATATCATTTCAAGGTCATGATTTTTCTTATTATTACAGCCTAATTAAGCAGACTTAAATAACGATGAAAATTCGAAAAAAAGATTAAACTTAATTACACCTTTGTAAACTCACTAAATCTAGAAATTTTCTTTGAATTTCGTTTCGAAACACATGCATATGGTCCACGTATTGCAGTCCTTGTTTAAAGGACAGCAACTTGTTAGAAAATAGATTGCTTTTTGAACAGGATAACCTATCATATTTATAATTCACTGGTTTCTTGTTGATTTTATTCCAGAAAAATGATATCAATTAAGGTTTTAAATCGAAAATTCCAAATTAACAAAAGACAAGGATTTACTCAAGATTAAAAAAAAAACAGGAAACTAACAGGAAAGACTATTTGCAAAATACGAGTCATCTTTGGGTCGTAATTATGTTTCATACCAACTGCTAGGCCATTGATTTTAGACTTAAAATCCGTCTTCCTGATCAATACATAGGGCTCACAGCGGTGTGACCGGTGAACCGGGAATAATTCAATTTTGTTTGTATTCTAGCCTCTGATTGGTTAATATCCAAAAAGGAACACAAATTATTTCTGTATAACCTTGTTTGGTATGGGGACACACCTCCCTGACAACCAGCTGAATCATCTGTATCCATTCAATCCTCTCATTTCCAGTCCTCGGGATTCATGGAAAATTCCAGATTTAATAAATGTACCTTTAACTTAAACAATAATTCGATCTTACCACATGTAAACAAACAACAAGGCTGCTAGGCCTATGTAACAGTTTTTACCTCCCCTCGCCTCCCATCACTTCCGTTACTTCCGTTACTGCGGTTGTATTATTGAGCGGCAAATTTGAACTAAAAAAAAAAGCAACGAAATTTTACACCTATAGTTATTAAATGATTTTAAAATTAAATTATATGGAATGACTCTAATTCTTGGCCAAATTTTTCGAGTATAACCTGGTTTGGGTCGGTTTACGCTGTTTTATAATCCGCTTCGCGGATTATAAAGCGTAAACTGACCCAAACCAGGTTATAGTCGAATAATTTGGCCAAGAATTAGAGTCATTCCTAAAATACCTACTCCTGTAAGGCACCTGATCCCACATCTTGAATTTCCAAAGATTTTTAAGATCTATTGCCGTTCGTTCGTTATCTTCGCCTTTTTTTTATGTATGGTCTTATTAACTGTCTTTTTCTTTTTGAACAGAATTAATGATACTGTTACGATTAGTATTCTTTACTTGATTTTTGAGATTGATCACAGTTCGTTATTCTCACCTTTATATTCTCTCTCTCTCTCTCTCTCTCTCTCTCTCTCTCTCTCTCTCTCTCTCTATATATATATATATATATATAGCACTAAAAATGACCAACGATACGAACAATAAAAATTTTATTGTTCGTGTCATTGGTCTTTTTTTAGTGCTTTATATAAATTTTCATCCGTGACCTTGTATCTACCCGACACATAGGATATACAGTGTTGTTGGTTTTTAGTGCTTTATATATATATATATATATATATATATATATATATATATATATATATATATATATATATATATATATATATATATATATATATATATATATATATATATATATATATATTCAGAGGGCGTGCCTTCAATGAATAAGCGCCTTAGTTCACGTGAAATTTCGATTTGTCCGTATTTGTTTACGTAAATCCTCCGATTTCTCGATAAGGCACACAGTGAGTGCATGGTATCTGAAATGGCAGCAGGTAGCATTTCATATAGTCCTATTTGTCTTTTGCTTGTAGTAGTATGTATCTTTTTTCTCTATTGACTATTTAAAGAGACTGGGTGGTTAAAAAATTCCCCAACAGATCCATAATTTTTTTTTTTTCTAGCCATACTATAATTCAATTAAGAAAAAGACACATTTAAAGCTATAATCAATGTAATTCCTATATTTTTATACAGAGCTCTTCTATTCCGAGAGGTTTAGATAGTTTAAAAATAACCATGACCATCCAGTCCTCTTAAAGTTTTCAAACTTTTCATTGTTTAAAGAGAAATTATTCTTCTCTATTTGAGTAACTATGATAGTTCACTAAATTTTTCTTCACTAGATTTTATTCTTCACCTTTTCAGCAATTATTTGTCACTTAGGTGTTTAAGTAAACCTTATGGTGCACTAGAAATTGCCCGAATTTCAAGTTTATTTCTATTTTCTTGTATGAAATGTATCATTATTATACAAAAATAATATTTGAGTAGAGGGTCGTTTTTCCCTAACCCTGTGATTGTATTATTAATATTCATTCTGAAATTATGATGTATAAAAACCATACATGCACATTAATTAACTTGTGAAGAGTGAAGATATATTGATTGGTGTAAAACACATTTATTCCAAATAAAATCTCGTGGAAACGTTTTGATAATTTTCGTTGGGGTTCAGTTTATTGAATGTGGTCGTTATGTAAAATGCTCAAGGACTCTATATAATTTACAATTTGAAATAAAAGGCTGTAGTATTTGGGGCACATCATCATCATCGATCTACAACAACCCCCAAGCCAACAACCCCAACTACCACTCAAAAGCCAACCCCAGAGTCCTTTGAATACGGCTACACATTCTTCTTTTATGATAACATTTCTGTAAGTAAATAGTTGATGATGTAATTGATTTTAAAGTATTTACTAGATTAGTTATGATTCTTATTAATTTATATCAATATTTTCAATGATATTTCAGGAAGTTTTTGCAATCAGCAAAGGCTGGGTTCATAAATCTACCATTTTTTATCTTTTAATATTTTTATATTTATACATACGTACTATTAGAAGCAATACCTTTTCCCTTTGTAGCATTACATATGCTCTATCCACGTGACGAGATTAAATAGATTATGTTTGTGTTACCATGTGCCGTACGATGAGAGGGATAGCGCACATGATCCAAACACTGCTTTAGACATTGAAGTGAGTAATGCAATTTTAACATTCAAAAATGATTTCCCTTAAAATGAGTTATATTTTGCTACTTGTATCTGTTAGTTTGACCTTGACTGGAACTAACCAAAACTGGGATAAATTATGCCTTTAACATTTATTCATCTTTATCATGTTTCATTGATTTCTTTACATAACAGAAAAGGATGTATGCTTTGTATGATGCTGGACACCACACCCCAATGAACGATCTTCAGTTCTACAGCAAGACCAATTATGATATGTGTATCGATCATGGTAAAAATCTCAACACCACCATAGAGCTTGTATATCCGTAATATGACATTGAAGTATTTACACGCAGGGACAATAAAAGGTAATTTGGAAGAATTTATGTTCTGCTGTCTTATATACTCACATTTTGTAAGATCCTAGTATCTTTTTCCTTTAATTATTATTCTATTGATGATTTGTTTATTGTAAAACAAAATGTTTGTTCAGCTCCCCGAACTTACCACCACATCTGTGTTAGACTAGCTTTTATTATTTTGTCTGAATGAAAATTTTAGCCATGAGAGTTGATTTTGTGGAAGGTGCACGATTATTTTGAGTTTATGTAACAATAATTCAATTGGAGGTCATTTATCATCCTCAGATACTCTAAACTCTAGACACCAATTCCTTTTTCATATTAATTGAACACCTTTTTAATCTATAAAGAGTCCTCTCATTTCCTGTATTATTTAAACAAATAAGCCCCGTTTACATTATTTATGTAAGCAAACGATCCCGCGACTGACCCTGGAAGGCAACACGTGACTGACTTTATTCTTTGGATACCTATACTACACATGCGATTTTTTTTCTTTTAGGTTTATCGGAGGATACACGGATACATGAAGCTATGGTTTCACATTAAAGATAATTTTAAAAAAGATAAAAATTGAGTTTAAAGCAAATTTTCTTCTTGAACAACATTTCATTATCAAAAATGTTAAATGAGAGTCTAGTTTGGTGAGCAGGAGATGATACAGTGTAAACCACTGAAGCATAATCAAGAATTATCATTTTTATATTGTGCGTAAGTGATTTACACTGTATCATCTCTGTATGCTTCCTGGTCTTACTAATAAACATCACATTGTATTACCAATATTCAAATTTACATCTTTATCATACGGTTACCTCAAATCTGCCTCAGGATCTAACATGACACAAATAATTATGAATATTTATCATGAACTACAAATAAATAAATTTAAGTTTACTTAATTTTTTTCCATTGTAATCAATAAGTGTCCTCCTTGAATGTTCAAGTCTGAAATTTTGTATAGTGATGTATTATAATAGTCATTTTGTTTCATGTCTTAGGAGAGGCAGAGATTGACCAATCAAAATATAACAATTAAAATTCCGGCCACGCGGTGCGTCACTCTGCCTCTTCTCCCATATACAGCCTTGGAGGACGGACGTTTTTTCAAGTTTGTTATTTATTTTATCAAGTATTTGGTGAGTAAAATTATTTTATCATGTCTTCAATGGGCAAAACTTCGGTAGTCATTGTTGGTCATTCAATTGTACATCGTTTTCACGAATTCTTGTAACACGGTGATGACATTATAGATATTCTGCAAATCTTGGTCTGGGAAAAACGCATTCCGTTTTGTACAGGGATGTGGGTGGAAGGAAGGTTCGCGATATAATATCTAAGGACATGGAGAGTGTATTTGCTTTAGGTCCCTTGGTAGTTGTTTTAATGATTGGGGAGAATGACATCGTTCCCAGCACAGATCATGCAATGTGTATTGTATTAAGTTGTCTTTTGGGCATTTTTGTAAAATTACAAACCAACTTCTAGATGCATTCGTAAACACCTCTCTAAATCACAGTTTATTTGAAATCAAATGTCTACCCGAACTGATCCAAACCCTGCATTATTGGAGTTGAAAGCAGAGTAAACAAGGTCGCACAAGGTTAGCAAAGTAATTTTGCAATAAGGCGTACATGAAATAAGTTAATACACAACTGCCACTGACATCAATATTTCCAGAAAAAAAAAGAGTGAACTGTTACTAGTAAACACGCCCTTTCTTTCCCTGACATAGCGACAAACTTTCTTCGACACATTCTAATTTTTTGTAGAACAATGAACAATCATTTTAAGATTCTAATAGCTTAGCAGTCACTGAGAGAAAGGAACTTTTAAAAATCCATATTTCATCTGTTTCCATGGAAATGGTGGCCATTTTTAAAATTTCATATGTAAATGACAAATCTTGACTTGGGGAATATCATTTTTGTGAGGTTTCATGAGGATTCTTCAAGTCATATTCCAGAACATTCGTAGACAAAATTTTAGGACTAGCAATAACAATATTTCGCCAGACATCTGTCGGGGGGACATAATTACAACTCCATCGGAGTCAGAATATACTAGCTGCAATAATGTAGCCCTCTCCGATTTTTTTTATCTGATATTTTCTGGAGAGGGCTACAATTCCACAGCATCTCTGTAATGGTGCAAATATATTTTTTAAATACGGGCGACTGCAGGCAAAATAAATTGTTTTTACATTCAACTTACTTCTAAAAAGGCGAAATTTTTATTCACTGTCAACAACATAGCCCGTTAAACGCGAAAACCAGATAAAATAAATCTGCTTGTTTACCAGTCGGTCTCATCAGAAGCCATGACAGTTCTCGCGTGATGCACTGAGATTTGCGCTTGAAAATTATAAATTACTTTGTAAAGTAGATTTTCGGGGTTACTAAATGATTGTGCTGTATTGCATCACTAAATATTGATAAATAAAACTATTCCATGTGACATTTTTTCGTAAACAGCGATATTTATGCCTAAAATAAGGTAATTCCTAAAGAGATCCGCTCCCTAGAGATCCCTAGTCTCATTGGCTGTCCCAAAATAAAATCGATCCATGTCAGTAAACATGGCGGATAAATTCAAGTTGTGATGTTGACATACACGAAAAATAACCGATATATGGATTGTTCTGTGTGTGTTTGGATTGATTTATGTTTTGCATAACTACATTTTTGGAGTTCACGTAAGAAATGTTAATCAAATAGCCATTTACTGATAATTAAATCCGAAATCCGTGCGGGAGTGAATCACTCCCGCACTTGCACCATTACGGAGATCCTAAGGAGTTGTAGCCCTCTCCCCCCCCCCCCCCAAAAAAAAAAAGGGAGAGGGCTACATTATTGCAGCTAGAATATACTTCACCTTTATAGAGAGTAGAGAGAAAAAATAATAAATGCTTCCATTAATTCGTATTGGACATCGTTAGGTCCTTCGCTGTATAATACAGTATCATGGACGGAAAAATTTGCAGCAAAGAATAGTAAATAGGAATTTATGAAAATCGTTTTTTTATGGCGGCTAAACAGGAATGTACATGAAAATCTTGTATTGTGTTTTCTTTGCCAGATTCTTATGATAGAAGAAATGGATTTCTATTCCGATAAAACGGCCGAAATTTGGCATGGTAGCCTACATAAAATGCAAAACACCCAGTGTAAGTCAGTCTTTTGACGAAGGTTCTGTACAACATCACAACAGAAACGCTCCTCTTTTGTCGTAATTATTTTAGCGGTATACATACTTAACGTCCTTGCACTCTCTTTTGTCCGAATATTCAAATGCATACTAATACATATATATGATTAAAATGAAATGTTAAGAAAACGTCTAGTATAATCATGCTCATAAGTCAGTTACACGTAACAATAAAAAAATTGAAAGCAGAGCAAAGACGAACCCTCGTACACATCAGAGGTGGGATCAGGTGCCATGAATGAGTAAGCATATTCTGTCGACCAGTTGCCAACCATGAGCCTGCTCAGCCCTATGTATTGATCGTGTAAACGGAGTAATCAGTAGACAATTCATTACGAAAATAGTGGCCTAACAATCTTAATAAATTGTCACACTCGACCTATTGGCAGGTTATAATTGAATCAAGATCAATGTATCAACCGAAGAATTTGTGAAATATTGACCTTAAACGAGATTGTTCATACCTTTGAAACATCAACGTATTTGTCAATAGCCTGCCTTGCTTTAGAAATTGTTCGAACGCAGATTACGCACTTGTGTACACTCCGACCCTTATTTCTCAAGGTGGGTAGGTAGGTAAGTTTTTTTCTTGATTACGTATTACATTGATAAATGTTACAAAAATAACAGATTTACACATTTAATCTTAGCTGAATCTTACCTAAAGATCATCAATGTACTTTTAACATTTGTAAATTGCAGTCAAAAAAAGATATATGCAACTTTAAGTTTATTTATTTTGTTTGTTTAACGTTCCTTTCGAGAATTTTTTCACTCATATTGAGACGCCACCACTAGCCGGTGGAGGGCTGCAAATTTTATACCTATACTCGACACTCAGGACAATCAAGCAGTGAGGGATCTTTTTCTTGCCAGCACCTACTGAGACACGGAACCTCGAATTATACGGTCTCATCTGAAGGACAGGTCTCCATGTCCCACAGTGGGATTCGAACCCGAGACGTAAGGATCAACTACTTACTCCGCGACTCTAGAGCAAACGCTCTAACCACTGCAATACGCGGGCGACAAACATCCCAAAGTTTAAAGCAATTTTGACGACCTGTAATACATGCAGCAGTATTTTCCCGGAAACGAATAAAAAATTAAACAAATAATAAAGTACTTAATATAATGATCAGGTCAGGGTAATTTTGATGGGTCGGTCGGAGTACATCAGAAAACGTTTTCTATTGTTGGACCAGATGATATAGGTATATTGCTACATAAAAAATAGAAACTTTGAAATCATCACGTTTAACATAAAGTTTAATTGTATGTTTACCATCAATTCCTTTTTTAGTAAAACATCCAGATATGAAACAATTGTGACAGAATCGGTTGTGTGTTTTATTTCGAGTTCAGTAGGACATATTGAATCAACGTATATTGTTAACTGATAAAACTAAAACATGTTACTTCAATTCCGAGAATAAAATTGGCTCCTTACGCTTAGTCATATCCAATTTCCATGAGTTTTGAATAATTCATATTTGATTTGTTCTTGATATTTTGTTGGATAGTAAAGATAGTTTTGAAGTAGAGTTAATAGTTTTTACTTCGTTGTAGTTCTGCGCATATATCCTCCAGGAACATTCAACTGATAGATGTGTTCTATTTCAAAAATCATCTTTTTTCTAATCATTATCTGTAAAGCATTTGATTAAAAAAAAATATTAATGTGTGGAGAATAAATCTGCATTTGTAAATATATGGTAATGAAAGGAAGATCCTCATTGTATATTAAACTTAAGAGAAATATAATTATATATAGCACCCTTTCTAATATTGAAAGGAAGTTGATTTTTATTAATCAATTATAAATCAATTTATTTAAATATTCCAACATGTCTTTCTAGAGAACAGTTACTTTTAATTGCTTTAAAAAAGATGGAAGAATGTAATAATTGGACTTCACAAGCTATTGCTGATATTAAAAAAAAAATAGAATATCGTCTTTTCTTTCCATTAAAAATACCTTTCAGAAATATAAAACATGACATATACATGTCACAGAGTGGAATAAGATTCACGTTTTGATAACGATAGTTCTAATCACTAGTATTGCCCTGTCCCAGAGTAACGAAATGCTTAAATAGATAAGACAATAAACATGCTCAGTAGATAGTTCACATCAAAGGATTATGTATTGATTGAGAATTCTCTCTGATTTCAAAATATCGCCCAAATATATCAGTTTTGACATTCTTTCTTAGTGTTATAATGTTCAGCTGAGAATGAATTACTTGTCCTAAAGTAATCAATTTGGCATCATCTTAGATATTTAAGAAAAAGAATTCTTGATTTTTATTGTATTGAGGAAATTTTAAAACTTTGTTTCTATAAATCATTTCATGATATAGAATATTAACTTCATATTTACAGTACACTTTTATTACGCTATGACGCTAAAAACGCTGACATACTCCTCTATCTTTCTAGTTAAATTATCACTCTGACTAGCGACTAAGTTAACAAAAGAACCGACATCATTATTTCATGCACTATATAGCAGTCTGATAACTATATACTTTGACAAATGTTTTAAATAAGTTATCTATAATAGACAACTTTAAAAAATACTGTTTCGATGTAATGAAAAAAAAATCAAGAATAATTTCGAGGTTTTGTAGATAATTTCAGAATTCAAAATTTTAGGTTTTAAATTAACTCGTAAGGAGACGGCTTTAATCTCAGATTTCTTGGTTCTAACAAAACAGGACTGTTTCACATCAGATGAAAGTAACACTTTGTGAAATGTTTCGAAAATATGTTGATCTACTTACACACAGAGAACTAAAGTCACAAGATCATATTTGAGATAAGACCTCATTCAATGTCCGAAACATTGATGATTGTGGACTGTAAATTACTACATTTAATCCAGCTTAGTGTTTTTTCTGTATTTTTTGTTGTGAGTACAAAACCATAGTAATGCTATGTGAGAGCGATAAATCAAATAAATTGAACTAGCAAATGTATTTTAGGAAAGTATATATTGTAGAAGAACAACTGGTCGGCGTTTACCGATAAAAGTTTCATTACGTTTGAATTCAGAAACAATTTTCTGCAATTTATAATCAAATGAGATGATAATTTACCCAAGTTATTTTCTATCAGTCATTCATATCTGTGCTTGTATTGAGGCATTTTAACTACTTTGACACAACTCGCAGGTCCACATTTATTTCATTTCACCTTCATTGCAGAATTAGTAATATATAAAAAATATATTCTAAACCAGACTTTTCAAGCAAGAAATCAATCCTGCCACCAGAAAAATGACAACAAAGACAACAACTACAACTCATCGTCCAACGCCAGAACACACTGAATGGTCCAACTCCTTATACTACTACGATCCACATGCTGTGAGATTTATATTAGTTTTCAATTGCTGACAAATAATTCCCTTGATAAACCTGTACTCTAAAATTGCCTCAATGTCGTAAATTTTCCAGGCTCTTTATATACACATGTAATTTATGTATCTCTCCATTTTATAAATGTACAGCATGTGTGTTTTTCAAAGGTTACACAACAGTTGTATTTATTTTAGCACTTCCTTTGCCATTTTCACGCCTCCAGGCTTGTACAATACTGCCACTGCTACCATGTTCCATATCAACATCGGAGTGATCTGCATTCTCCTTTAAAGATGTATGAAATGGAGGTAAGAAGTGACGTATGAATCAATTATAAAAACATAAATCCTTAATATTCTCTATAATGTCTTTTCAGTTAAAATTGATTTTATTGCGAAGTATTAATTAAATATACAGGTTAATATTACCAATAACATAATCACAAATCTAACGGTTTTTTTCTGTTTATCATCATTTTGTCGAATATATTTTTATTTACAAAGAAACATATGGCGGAACTGTACGTAGCTGGGAACCATGTATTGATGAATGATCTTCAAATGTATAGCAAAGCTAACTACGATATGTGCCACAACCATGGAAAAAGGCCCAATGTTACCATATATATGTTATACGACAACCACTGATCAGAAGTACATATAAGTCTGACGTTAAATAATAATTTTCTGGAGATGTCATATTTTTGTATTTGGGAGTGTTCAAGTGTGTTTCAGTATTTATGGCGAAACAGTTAGTTTCAGACAAAAGAAAAACACCAGAAGTCGAATCAGGTGCCTTGGAGGAGTAAGCATTCCTTGTCGACCGGTTACATCCGCCGTGTGCGCCCTTGTCATGATGAGGCAAACAGAAAAAATCCGTAGACAATTCAATGAGTAATAAATGACCTAACAATTAGTTAATGAGAAAAACGTTAGTTAGCATTCGATTTAATGATAGATTGTGTTTCTTAACAAGTGTATCAGAATCAATGGTTTGTTTTATTTTGACTTTAATAGGATATAATGACTCAACGTATATTGTTAATTAATAAATCTAAAACATATAATTTTAAATCTGAGATCAAAATCGGCTCCTTACGAGTCAATTCGAATTTCCATATGTTTTGAGTACTTTTAATTCATATTTGATTTTTCCTGATATTTTGTTGGATAGTAAAGATAGTTTTGAAATAGAGTTAATAGTTATTGGTTCGTTGTAGTTCTGCACATATATTCCCTTTGCTCATAAATGTATTCTATTTAAAAATAATTTTGTCTAATAATTCTCTGTAAATCATTTGATTAAAAAATACTATTGTGAAGAGAAAAAATTATGCAAATATTTTGTAATGAAACATAGAGATTCATTGTCTACTAAACTTAGGGGGGACATAGTAATAACAAGGGGCCCATCGGCCACATCGCTCACCTGAGCACTTCAGCTAGGAAAAAAAAACAGAAATCAGTTCAGTATTAAAAACTTTGAATATAAAAGTGGTCGAGGGAGGGGGTAGTGGTGATTTGATCAAACATGAATCTACACTACCTCAGGATGCTTCCATATTTCTTTGACTAATCATGGCTTAAAAGATTTTTCAAGAATTTTTCCTATACGTTAGATCTTCCGTTGTGGCCTTGACCTACCCCGGGGATATGATTTGAACACACTTGAATCTACACTACCTAAAGATGCTTCTGAATTAATATGACTAATCATGGCATTTCTGTTATTGAGAAGAAAATTTTTATTGATATATCCTTTATATTTATTTGTATAACTTTGATTTCTTGTTGTGACCCATCTCTACTCCTGAAGGGTCATGATTTGAACAAAGTTGAATCTACAATACCTGAGGATGCTTCTATATTAATATGACAAATCATGACTTTGCTGTTCTTGAGAAGAAGATTTTTCCTATAAATTTCTTTGTAAAACTTTGATCGTCCACTGTGGCTCCACCCTAACCCCGGGGGGCATGATTTGAACATACTTGAATCTTCACTTCCTGAGGATGCTTCCAAATAAATATGATCAATAATGACTTAGCTGTTCTTGAGAAGATGATTTTTAAAAAAAATTTTCCTATGTATTCCTATGTAAAACCTTGATTGTCCATTACGGCCCACCCTACCCCCAGGAGTCATGATTTGAACAAACTTGATTCTACACTACCTGAGGATGCTTCCATATAAATATGATCAATCATGGCTTGGCTGTTCTTGAGAAGAATATTTTTAAAGATTTTTCCTATGTAATTCTATGTAAAACTTTGATCACCCATTGTGGCCCCACCCTACCCCCGGGGGTCATGATTTGAACAAACTTGATCCTACACTACCCAAGGATTCTTCCATATAAATAAGATCAATAATGGCTTTGTTGTCCTTGAGAAGAAGATATTTCCTATGAAATCCTATGTAAAACTTTGATCACCCATTGTGGCACCTTCCTACCTCCGAGGGTCATGATTTGAACAAACTTTAATCTACACTACCTGAGGATGATTTCACACAAGTTTTATATTTTCTAACCCAGAGGTTCTTGAGAAGAAGATTTTTAAAAGATGCCATTAATTTTTTACTAATTCATTATTATCTCCCCTTGGAAGAAGGTCTTTCTCTGCATTTGAACAAACTTGAATCCCCTTCACCCAAGGATACTCTGTGCAAAGTTTGATTGAAATTGGCCCAGTGGTTCTGGATTGATTGATAATTATTGTTTTACGTCAATTTGGCAATATTTCGGCGTAAAACAATAATAATCAATCAGTCCAGAACCACTGGGCCAATTTCAACCAAACTTTGCACAGAGTATCCTTGGTTGAAGTGGTTCTGGAGAAGAAGACGAAATTGTGAAAAGTTAACGACGACAACAACGACGACGACAACGACAATAACGACAGACAGAGGACAAATTTTGATCAGAGAAGCTCACTTGAGCCTTCGGCTCAGGTGACCTAAAAAGCATACCTTTATAATACTAAAAGGTATCTTATTTTTATTCCACAATCACAATTTCATTTACTTTATTATTCGAAGTTGTCTTTCTAGAGAAAGGGCATTTTTACTTTGATAAAAATAGATGGAAAAAATATATTTCGACTTTTCAATCTTTTATAGATATATAAAAAATCAGAATATTTTCTTTTCTTTCCATGAAAAATAGCATTAAAATATTAAAAACATGTCACAGAGTGGAATAAGATTAACGTTTTGAAAACGACAGTACTATATTAATGTCCTGTTCCAGTGTAACGAAATGCATGCATGGACAGAGACTACTCCCTAATTTCAAGATATCGCCCAAAGATATTTGTTTTAATGTTCTTTTTTAGTGCTGTAATGCTCAGCTGAGAATAATTATTGATAATATAATAATATTCTCAAGTAAGCGATATTGCACCATCTCAGTTATTTTGAAAGAAAATTCTTGATCCTCTTTATCGATAACGAAATTTTAAACCTTTGTTTTGATATAAATCATTCCATGATATAGAATAGCAACCTAATATGTATAGTATACCTTACATTACGCTATGTCGCTAAACAATGCTATTACATATGTAACACGCTGATTGTGTTCAAGGTTCTTTATTCGTTTATCCCTTTAAAAATAAATTTTTCCCAAACAAGGGGTATATGTGTCGTTTACAGCATATTAGTATTACCACATCTGGCTCATATCTGAAATATCTAGTCTTGCCAGTTTTTCTGCCAACAATGGGTGCGTTCACAATTTTTCCATTGGTACAAATATCGATTCTGCCGTTGGCTGTCTTTGGCACCAATGTTAAACAATGGTACAATTAGTTGCCTTAAAACTGTGAACGGCATATTGGTAAACCAAGGACAAAACAGCCAAAGTTTATACCAACGGTTGCCAAAGGTGATTAATGGTACCACTTGGTTACTAATGGTCACCAGTGGTAATCAATGGTTACCAACTGCAAATGTTTAGTTTTTCACCATTTTTCAGAAATAATAAATTCAATAAAAGGCATGTTTGTTGCTCTGCTAAAAAATGAAATTATTCTTAAGGACAAAACTTTTTAGGACCACTTGTCTTCAGGTGATATTCTTTTGCCAAAAAATTTGTATCAAATGTGCAATAATATGTAGAGATGACACTGTATTCTTCCTTAAATAGTTTTAAATTCATATGAAGTGGTATCATTTCAGTAAACGTCACTCACGCTACCAGGAATGGTCCTGGTAGCCATCTTGTTGGTGACTCTAATAAACGAAAAATCTGCGTTGGTAATTCTGCCGCGAATGTGGTTGGCCTGCAGAATTGGTAACCAATAAAAGTTACCAATGGTAAACATTGGTACTAATGTTTTGCCAGTGGTAAATTGCACTACCAATATCAACCAATGGAAGAATTGTGAACGCACCAATAACAGGAAAAGCACAAAAAGGACCAGCATGCAATGCAATCTACCATGTGACATCACCAAAATATTTACAATTATTTCAGGGCTTAACGTTTCATAATATAACATTACTTTTGATAATAAATGAAAATGATGAAAATTAATAATAATAAAAAAAAAGTAATAATAAACCATTTCAGTAAATTTTTTTTAAAATCCCATGCTACACACACGCACCCTCACACCCACCCACCCACAGATATATATATATATATATATATATATATATATATATATATATATATATATATATATATATATATATATATATATATATATATATATATATATATATATATATATTAACAATGATTAACAATGATAAAATTTTAAACATAAATTTTCTCCCTCTTACACATACTCCTCTATCTTTCTAGTTATATAATCACTCAGACTAGTGATATACTTCATCAAAAGAACTAACATCATTATTTAATGCACTATATACATTGTAGCAGTCGTATAAATATATATGTCGAAAAACTTTTAAAAATATGTTGATCTACTTGTATATATAGAGATCTAGAATCACAAGGCCACATGTGAGATAAGATCACATTCACTGTCCAAAACATTGATGATTATGGACTGCAAATTACTAGTATTAATCCAGCTTAGTGTTTTTTGTGCATTTTTTGTGAGTATAAAACCCTAGTAATACAATTTGCGAGCGATAAATAAGATTAATTGAACCAGTTATACAGATGTTTTAATGAAAGTATAAATTGTAGAGGAACACCTAGTCGGCATTTACTGATAAAAATTTCATCACCTTTAAAATGACAAACATTTTTCTTCAAAGCAATTAAATGAGATGATAATACATTTTGAAAATTTAACATAAGTTATCTTTCGGTCATTCCTTTTCATGATTGTATTGAGGCATGCGCATTTTTATTAACTACTTTGAAACACGCAAGTTTACATTAATGATATAATCAGTTTATTGTAGAATTAGTAATTCTAATGATTTTAATTAATAATGATTGTATTTCAAACCTGACTTTTCTAGCAAGAAATCAATCCTGCCACTATACATCATGCTTCTACAACCAGAAAAATGACAACAAAGGCAACAACTACAACTCATCGTCCAACCCCAGAACACGGAGAATGGTCAAACTCTTACTACTACTACGATCATATTGCCGTGAGATTTATATTAGTTTTAGAATAAGATAATAACACCTACTCTTTAAAAACTGTTTTCTTTCAAATTGCTTTAATTTCGTAAATTTTTCAGCCTGCTTGTTATACACATGTTATCTATGTATCTCTCCATTTCATAATTGCACAGCATGTGTTTGAACGGTTCCGAGACTTTGCAAAGGTTACACACCAATTGTATTCATTTTAGCACTTCCTTTGCCATTTTCACTCCTCCAGGCTTGTACAATACTGCCACTGCTACCATGTTCCATATCAACATCGGAGTGATCTGCATTCTCCTTTAAAGATGTATGAAATGGAGGTAAGAAGTGAGGTATGAATCAATTATGAAAAAAAACATAAATCCTTCATATCATACTATTCTCTATAATGTCTTTTCATGTACAATCTATTTTTATTGTGAAATATTAATAAAATATACGGGTCAATCTTACCAATAACACTAATGCTATATCTAAAGTTCTGTTCTGTTTTCATTGTTTTACCGAACATGTTTTTTATTTACAAAGAAACATATGGCGGAACTGTACATGGCTGGGAACCATGTATTGATGCATGATCTTCTAATGTACAGCAAAGCTAGTTACGACATGTGCCACAACCATGGAAAAAGGCCAAATGTCACCATATATATGTTGTACGACAACCACTGACCAGACAGAGATATCCTGTCATTAAATAATACTTGTCTTACGGTGTCATGTTTTTGTATTAAGGCACCATAATGCCACCTCTGATGTTTGCTCTGCTCCCGATTTGTATTGATTGAATGGACTTTTGAGCTTAAATACTGTTCTTATCTCCATATATTTCATTAAGGAGTGTTCAATTATGCTTCAATAATGATGCCAAAACCTGTAAATTTCATGTAAAACATTGGAATTGTTCATAAAATTAGGTCAGTGTTCCGTAGAATATTTTCGGTTTAAAACAATTAATGATTTCAAAATCAATCTAAATACAATACCTTAGTCATAGAATAATATATAGGTGATAAACTTATTTTATTCAATCAAAACTTAGTAGGTATTTTTAACATAAAAGTCTCAATTAGTGCCTTGGAAACACCTTTTGACGATTATTTTACTATCATTGAAAAAGACCTTAATAAGCAGAACATTGAAATTAGTTTTAGTATAATCTGGTGCTTAGGATATATATTACGGATGTCAACGAATATTCGAGTACTTGAATATCGTTCGATCATACCGACTATCGACTGAAAATTTTTTAGTCGGTTATTCGTTAAAAATTTGCAACTTAATAGTAATTTGAAATTCAAGGTAAAAAAAAAAAAGGATCTGATCAGTTCATTTATTAACGTATCAGTGTTAAAAAGATGTCAGACCCAAATTGTGAAGTTTCAAACTGCAATTCCGTAAGATCTCGTATAATGCAAATATCAATTAATGATGAATAATTAAACAGCTGTTACTTATTTGTTAATACATGTGAACTGGGGGACGGTTATGAGCGAAATTTAAAGGTGTTTCTTTCTGATATTATTATTGTATTGAAATCAGGCTTTAAAAATCACTAGATTTTCAAAAACGTATGGATTTGAATAAATGATCCCTAGGTCTTACTGTATGTTTAACTTAATATGTAAAATTGAAGATAAAAAATTGATAAATGGCCTTATTTTATTTGTAATTTCATTTGAAATTGGTAATAAAATGACCGATTTTGCAGTTTTTTGTCTATAAACATATGTTTTCCCCCGTGAAACAACAAAAGCTTTTGTAGGAATTTGTGAAATAACAATTCATAAAACCCATAAAAGGAATTTTTGATTCACGGGGGGGGGGGGGGGGGGGAGAGAGATGTTTTAAAAATATTTTCCGTTTTCCTTTGATTTCTATAGTGATTTTTACCAGAATTAAAGAGTTATCTGTCTTTGTTTTCCCAAATAAGTTATGTTTTATGAAACTTCACATAGATATCTGATATAGATATGAAATCTGATATAAATATGAAAAATCATTCAAATCTCTTAACTTTTGAAATTTGACTTGGAGGTAGGCGGCAGAACAATACTATCGTTCGCAGTTCTTTAAAACAACTTTGCTCTACATCAAAAGAAACAGTTTGTTCAAACAACGTTGGCAACAAAACTCTTTGATCCTTAAGCAAAACTTATTCAATGGTTTATCAATGTTATTGAACTCCACCAATCAGATTGACAAAATTTTTGTGGGCAGGGAAAATTAAGCATAAGGGATCAAGCGTTTAGTTTGCTGAAATCAGAAGTAAACATATAACTTTATCGAAACATGGAAGACAGCATTCAATATATATATATATATATATATATATATATATATATATATATATATATATATATATATATATATATATATATATATATATATATATATATATAAAGCACTATAGAATGTACAAAGAAATTTACTTTTATAAGGATACCCAATTTCGCCCTAGACCGGGGTTGAACTCGCGACCTACGGAATCTGTCTTCTAGCAGTACATGAATAGCGCGCTAGACCGCTCGGATATCTAGGCAAGTCAAAAAACTTGCTTTCGATGCCGATGGAATTCTCGCGGCGCAGATATATCCTATCACATGCGTGTCCACGTCAGTTTATTTCCCCCTCCTTTACGACATTGAAATAATATATTAAGGACATTACTACTTTTTCAGAATGAAATTCACCCTACTAATTATAATAAACCCATTATTTTACAACACGAATAGTGACAACAAAGGCAACAGCAACTCATCGTCCAACTCCAGAACACGGAGAATGGCCTAACGACTCTCACTCTGTCAGTATCATCAATACCCTTATTTGCTAAGGAATATAATCTTTTATTACATTTTCAACAGTGTAATACTGTAATTTATTTATCGAATAAAAGTGATATTCTGACACAGTGTGAAAGGATATCAAAATGGTATTCTCACAGTGTGAGAATATCAGAAGTGCGGCAAAACGTACGAATTTACTTCCCTTCAAGAAGAGTGATTTTTAAAAAAAAAATCCCCGGCCTGTTATTAGACAGAGTCATTGAGCCATCCTGACAGAGGCTAATAGTAATACTGCCAAAGTTTTTCCAAATAATTATGTCTTTAAAAACCCATGTTTACAATGTTTTTCAATCTCGCAATCGCTTAACTATGACATCACAGCCTATGACACTGTGTTACGAAAAGACAGAGGCAAAGGGAAAATCTAAGAAAATGTAATAAACAGAAAATTCAATGTTTTGTAGTTCAATATGGAATTTATTTCACTCGTGAGACACTCGTGCCTCGCACTCGTGAAAATATCAAAAAATTCTGTCCCACACGTGACATAAATTCCATATTTATCTACAAAACATTGAATATCCTGTATAAAGGTCATTTGGTATCTTACAAGATTGTATCACTAACCTGAAATTTTTCTTGCAATCTAAGAAATGGTATTATTTATCTTAATTTAACACATTTTTTCGGTTTGTAAACGTGTCAATTTCAACAAAAACAATATTATATCACAGATCTGTTACATATTTGAAATGTTCTCTTTATACCTCTAGGTCTGTTGCTATAATTAGAATTTTTCTAGAGGTAAACATAGATGTTTTATACCGAATGGTTCTCTTAAATGTCAGTCACTGCACCGAAATGTTTCTATCCGATTTCAAATTAAATGTAATCATATATGTAAATAATAATCATCATTATCATGTTTTAATAACAATTTTGACACATCTGTTTCATATTTGGATATTTTACTAGAAAAGGACGTTAATGGTAAACTAACAAGAAAACTTTATGATAAATGTGATGACTTTAACATTTCGTCAACTTTCCTTACTTATGTAGCAATATACTCTTATCACCTACATATGGGGTTTATGTCTCACAGTTGATTCGATAAGCAAGAGCATGCGCAACGTATGCACAATTTCTAAAACGGGGCAAGCTTTTGACAAACAAGTTGAAATGAAACAATGATATCAACCGTCTCCTTTAAGGTCATCATTTCGCAAATTCTTTGGTCGATACAATGACCTCATCAGCAAATACTCGCTATCATTACGTCCAATGCTGACTGACGTTTTTCATACTAATTGTTAGGCCATTATTTACACATTGAATTGTCTACGGATTTATCTGTTTTTCCAGAACATGACAAGGACCACACAGCGGGTCTGACTGGTCTGCAGGGGATGCTCACTCCTCAATGGCACCTGATTCCACAGGTGAATTTTCACAACATTGCAATTTTTAATTCCGGAAAAATTTCTATGTAATGTAAATGTGCGAAAAAGTGGCATGCTCTGTGAAGCATGCTTTATCTAAATAATTTACCTGTATATATTTTTTTAAAGATTTATCGGAAAACACCAATTTTTTGCATATTTATTGTAAAATACGTGTAGTTTTTATCTGCAGAATTTTATTGGTTTCATGCAAATAGCGCACTCACTATGGAACTTGTCCGCGAACTTTTCTAACAGCCGTCATATATATATATATATATATATATATATATATATATATATATATATATATATATATATATATATATATATATATATATATATATATATATTAGAAGTATTATTATTACAAACGCTGAATATATACCTATCTATTTTAAAAGAAACACTTGGCCGACTTGTACCTGGCTGGCAACCATATATTGATGGATGATCTTCTAATGTACAGCCAATCTAATTACGACATAAGCGACATTCATGGAAAAAGGCCACACGTTGATATATATATGTTGTATGACAACCATCGTCCAGAATGATTTACAACGTCTATCATAAAATCATAGGCTGCATGATGTCAATTTGTTTTATCTTGGAAATATTCCTTGATGTTTTAATTTTTATACCTTATTAAAATATCCTTTCATTTTGTTTTCCAAAAACTGTTATATTCAACACACTATGTCTTCTCTTCATGGTTCTAAACATTATTTTGCCTGCATTTGCCCTTAAGAGAATTGTCTTTTATCTGCATAGGTCAACAATAAACACATTATCTCACAGATGACTATGGATTTCTGGCATTTTCAAACATTTTCTGACATTGATCATTCTTATTTGGGACACCCCCTTAAATTTTATTTTCGTAAAGTACATTCTGCATTACAAGTTTATTCATTTTCCTCTTGTCCAATTAGAGTATGTATTCATTTGTTACTACATTTAATTACACGACTGCATTTACGCCTTTATCAACTGAATATGTGATTCCAATATACACAAATCTAATTGAGAACAAAAATTGCAAGAAATGTAATGGACATTGTGTCGACTATTCTGTAAATACTAATACTGTGACATTTTGGAAATAAGCAACACTTATATCGGGCTACTTTTGTGATCAATGAGAACTTTCTTGATAGATTGATAAAATTTCATTCATTTTGGAAATAGAAGCCAAAATGTCTTTCCTTATCTTCCAAATATATCGACCATTAATGAAAAAAAATTAATTTACACAAAAATAAATTAGTTGAGTGTCCATTCAGTTCAATGATTTCAAAATACTTCTCCAAATACCGCACAATTCAAAGGACAATTTCAAAAAGAAGCATATTGAAATCTTAAAATATTTGATATCAAATTTTGTTAAATTTAAACTTCCACGACATCATCCAAACGAGGTTTGACGTCTCTCTCTAATACTTGACACACACATGCTTTTCTCAACCAAGTATTGTGTCTGTTATATGCTTCGCTCTCTAAGGAATACCAGTTCACTAAGCGTCCTCGTTCATTCCATTCCTGAAGTCTTTTAAGAATCATTTTCTTTGCCTTGTCCATAAACTATAATCAGAATATGTTAAAATTTTTACTCTATTTGACTCTTTACTTCTTTCACTTTCATGATCTTATCTTATTTAAAATTCACCTCATGCACTTTGTTTAAAAAAAACAAAAACCCCAAAAAACAACAAATACAAACAAGAGGCCCAAGGGCCAGATCGCTCACCTGAGCACTGTGGCTAGGAAAAAAGGAAAAATCAGTTTAGTATTGAAAAGCATAAATGCATAAGTAGCCCAACCTACCCCTAAAAAGGGAGTGGGGGGGGGGGGGGTCATGATTTGAACAAGCTTGAATCTACACTATCTGAGGATGCTTCCGTATAAATATGACAAACCGTGGCTTTGCTGTTCTTGAGATTTTTAAAGATTTTTCCTATATATTCCTATGTAAAACTTTGATCATACATTGTTGCCCCACCCTACCCCCGGGGGTCATGATTTGAATAAACTTGAATCTACACCACCTGAGGATGCTTCCACATAAATATGACCAATCATAGCTTTGCTGTTCTTGAGAAGAAGATTTTTGAAGATTTTTCCTATATATTCCTATGTAAAACTTTGATCGTTCATTGTGGCCCCACCCTACCCCTGGGGGTCATAATTTGAACAACTTGAATCTACACCACCTGAGGATGCTTCTACATAAATATGACCAATCATAGTTTTGCTGTTCTTGAGAAGAAGATTTTGAAGATTTTTCCTATATACACCTATGTTGAACATTGATCGTCCATTTTGGCCCCACCCTACCCCTGGGGGTCATGATTTGAATAAACTTGAATCTACACCACCTGAGGATGCTTCCACATAAATATGACCAATCATAGCTTTGCTGTTCTTGAGAAGAAGATTTTTGAAGATTTTTCCTATATATTCCAATGTAAAACTTTGATCGTCCAATGTGGCCCCACCCTACCCCCAGGGGTCATGACTTGTACAAACTTGAATCTACACCACCTGAGGATGCTTCCAAATAAATATGACCAATCTTAGCTTTGCTGTTCTTGAGAAGAAGATTTTTGAAGATTTTTCCTATATATTCCTATGTAAAACTTTGATTGTCCATTGTGGCCCCACCCTATCCCCGGGGGTCATGATTTGTACAAACTTGATTTTACACTACCTGACAATAATTCCACATAAGTTTCATCTTACCTGGCCCACTGGTTCTTGAGAAGAAGATTTTTCAATAATGCCATTAATTTTTTGCTATTTCGTAATTATCTCCCCTTGAAGGAGGGTGTGGCACTTCATTTGAACAAACTTGAAACCCCTTAACCCAAGGATACTTTGTGCCAAGTTTGATTGAAATTGGCCCAGTAGTTCTGGAGAAGAAGATGAAAATGTGAAAAGTTTACGACAACAACGACGCAGACGACGCCGCCGACGACGACAGACAACGGACAAATTTTGATCAGAAAAGCTCACTTGAGCCTTCGGCTCAGGTGAGCTAAAAACAAAATATGAATTACTTACAAAAGCAGTACATTCTTTGTTTATACGATTTCTCTTGGACAGCAGGATGCTTGTGTACTCCTAAAATAGTTTTTTTTTTTTTTAAAAAAAAATACTTTTATCTCTCATTCACTATTTCATTATTTGTCTCTCTCATCTTCCATAACCAAAAAAATGAAAATACTAAGCTTTAAAAGAAGCAGTTAATTTTCCTGTTTGAGCTTTAAATTACTGACGTGAAAAGGCAAGGTTTACGCACCTGGCATGCTTTTATATCATATCGTATCGCTTTTATATAGAGAAGAATAAGAAAACGAACATTATTTTTGTATCATTTACTACACTAACTGCAAGACTGTAGCTCCCCGACCAAAAAAACATTGACAGACAGGAGAGCTACAGTGCCACCATAGAAAAACAGTACATTTCTTGCACACAAAAAGTTGCTCTGGGTTCTGGATTAATTTCTCCAAATTCTTAACTCATATAGCTCGATTTCGAAAAATTCCTTAGAATTCTAACAACTACTCTCGTAGCTGACATCTGCACGAAGCGTTTGTACGTTTGTTGTTTAACGTCCCTCTCGAGAATATTTCACTCATATGGAGACGCGCACGAAACGTTGGACCAAATTATCTTGTCACTCAAAATGGCAGTATATTGGCGAAATTTTCAATGGTCTCAATTTCAGGCCACGGAAGGCTATTTACAACGGTTTTAAGAATCTTTTCTTGTTTGTGGAAATAGTAAAAGACACGTTTAGTGATATTTTGAGATTTGAGTTTGAAAAACACAGAGAAGTAAATGGAGAAGCAGTGCACTTTTTGTGCGCGAAAAATACACACTTTTTACAATGGTTCGCACGTAATTGTAGCTCTCTGGTCATCCATCCCAATTTTTTCAGACCAGCGAGCTATAGATCTGCAGCTATTGTCACCCACGATTTTAAACATCCAACATGCTTAGATTAAAATGCCTCAAAGGTTGAGAATAAATGTAAAATTCCATGGGATAAGCGAAAATTTATATATATATATATATATATATATATATATATATATATATATATATATATATATATATATATATATATATATATATATATATATATATATATATATATATATATATATATCTGTGTGTGTGTGTGTGTGTGTGTGTGTGTGTGTGTGCGTGTATTAGGGATGTCAATTCGGACAATTTTTGATAATCGGTTACTCGGACGTTTTTCCGATCGAGTACCCGTATAGTCGGTAAAAATGTAGATACAAGTGTGTTAATTTTCTTGAACCCCGTTAAGCTTTGTTAAACCCCAAAGCTGTTTTATCAATGTATATAAACATTAAGTCCAACGAAAATGATTTTTTGGTACTAAATTTATTTATCAAATAAACACAAAAGACCCAAATAATACATCAAGAATTACAAATGCTTTACAGTTCTTGTATAGGATCTATTTGATGAACGTAGAAGGAGGACAATCTGCTCGAAAGAGAAGGAACGGACGTTGTTGGGATCGCTAGTTTAATATTATTTCAAATGTTGGTTGCCCACCCCCACCCCCCACCCCCCCTTTACTTACTTGCAAACGGACTTTCATTATTTTTTTTTAATCTTTAGTTATTTCTAAATATTTCTTCACTTTTGAAGTGGGTAGCGTCATTTCTATGCATGTCCGATTTCACTGCCGTTTATTAACTAAATAATTTAAAAATGATTGAAAGATAATAGACCATACGTAAACGATGTTCACTGAAAATAATCATTGAAGCCATCCAAAAATTAAGGACCACAATAGGTGACAACTGTGTACCAGGTGATTGGTCACTAATTACTGTATATACAAAGCCACAGGTGATAACGGGTGTTTTACAGGTGTAGTTGACGGCACACTAATTACCGTATGCATATTCAAGTTAATTTTTTGATAAGTTTTTTCTACAAGTATGTACTTTAAAACAAGAAAAAATACACATCCGAGTAACCGAGTACCATTTTTAATATTCGATACTCGGACGTTCGATCGAGTACCCGGTTAACCGGGTTACATATATTAAAACCAATAAATGGCAGTTAATAGAGAAAAAATTAGCTTAAAGTAATAAAGATAATATGTGATTCTGTTTATTGACAAGTCAGTCTAATTAAAATCAGACTTCTTAGATCCATTCCCTTCACACTTTGTGTACAGTTTGTATGGCGCGGATCTAAAAGTCCGATTTTAATTAGATTGATTGACAAGTCGAAGATGAGATTACCTTTGGAATTCCCAAGTCTGTTACATCCAGCAGTACCAAACACTTACTGTTGTCAAAGTGTTCTAAGCTCTTATCCCACATATTCTTGCGAAGGAACTCAATCAGCTGGGGAAAAAAATTCGTAAAGATATGATAAAAATAGTTATAACCCCTTTTCTAATTTTTTAATTGAATAAGGCATTAATCATAGATCAAGGTTTGGAAAAATTATATTCTCACCTTCTTACGGACTTTTCGAACTATAAACAGTGTCAATGGAAAGGAGAAGAATCCGAAAACAATTCCAGGTGTAACATGTACATTCCACATGTCGTTTACATTTCTGTTCAAAAACGTGTCTAGAAGTCCGATAGAAATGTAAAGAAATGTCACCGAAAGACTTAACAGTGCAGTTACTCCGCACTGGAACATGCCATTTTTAAATATCCTGTAATTCCTCAAGAAAAAAGATGCATTTGCAAAATCAAGAATATGTTCCAACTGTTTCTGAACCTGTAATAAAAAATCATTACTATCTAACTTACATTAGAAATGTGCTTTAAAATTTTAATTTGAAGTTACTTGGCAAAAGATTTTTTTCCAGTTCTCCAGTGAAACAACATTAAATGATTTCTATAATTATATCAACCACTGAACAAGGCCAAAGTAAAATCAGTTTGTTGTTTGGAATTGCCTCCCGCCTCATTAAAATTACCAATCTTGGAAAAATTTTATTAACCAAGTATAAGAATAATTTTTTATTCAATCAATTCTTGGCTGTTATAACATGCACCACCCAAACATTTAATTAGCGTTCGATCTGAGCAAAAACTGGGTTCTTGGTTGATGGATGATAACTTTGCAGTATTCAAGATCACTAGTCCATTCAAGCATTACAAAATAGGAGCAGAGCAAACACGAACCTCTAAGACATCAGATGTGAGATCGGGTGTCATGGAGGAGTGAGCATCCCCTGCCGACCAGTGCTCCTTGTCATAATCAGGAAATAACGGAAAAATCCGTCGACAATTCAATGTGTAAATAATGACCTGACAATTACTATGAAAAAAAGTCAGTCAGCATTTGACTTAGTGAAGGATTGTTTTTGCTGACAAGGTCATTGTACCTACCATAAAACGTACAAAATGATGACTTTAAACGAGACTGCTGATATTCTTGTTTCATCAACTTGTTTGTCAATAACTTACCTCGTTGTATAAATTGTTCATACGTAGAGCATGCTCTAGCGTATCAAATCAACTGAGAGGTATAAACTCCGTATGCAGGTGATAAGGGTCTATTTAATTAAACTTCAATTAAAACAAAAAATAATTCCCTCCCTGCTGGATCTAAATACCAACAGGCGGCAATTCCAAAACAACAATTTAAGGATGGCCCAGGTTCACTTTATAAACATCTGTAATAAATAAATAAAGAGACAGAGAAAGAGAGACCTGCACTGAATTTAATGTACGGTAGTCTGATTCTGTTAACTCTGGAAATTCAAAATGGGAGGCGTTAAAGCATGCAGAGGTCTTCAATTTTCCTTCCAACTCTATCAGTGGAGCCCCATTCTGATTTCTATTATCCTCAACAAATCTGGATTCTATTAATGAAATGAATTTTTTTGGTTGTTATATTTCATATGCCATGTATCGGAAAAAGACTTTAACCAATTATCTTTTTGATTCTCTAAATTTAAAAACGACTCACCTAATTCAGCCTGATGGACAGCATCTACAACTCCTACAAATTATTTGAAGATATTAGGAATATTTCGAAAATTTAAGCTTCTCCATGCAATGATATGTCAGTGTAGTAATTAAATATTTCATTAAATAAAATTTAATGAACTCTGATATAAAATGTAGTAACTATTAAACATTGTAAAATAATTTATTTTCATTGGTTTAATTTTAGTGTTTTCGTGGTATGAAGTCCAAAAAAAATCCATGCCCTCTACGAAATGATATTTGTTTTAAATTTCAAAATATTTAGTCACATGTTTGTATACAACACTCCGTCAATCACGAAATCGAATTCCCCAAACCATAAAAATTTAACCTCTCAAAAATAAGTGATATTACAGTACTTCATAACAAGATAGCTTACCTGAATGATAGTATGCTTCATGTATTTTTGCAGATACATCGCTCTCTTTTCTGGCATTAATGCACACATACGGTTTCAAGAATGGTGGTAAATCGTTGTCAGTATCTAAGCCATGTAATATCAAAGGAATTATTCTCAAACTAAACTTCTGGTCGAATGACATTTGAACAGCTAATCTAGCCTCCATGTCACACCAATGGCTATTCAGAAAGTCTGGACTTAAGACTAATAATACTTTCACACTTTTTTCCATCTCGTATTGGATGTTCTCGTCAATTTGTTTCAATTTCACACATTTGAAAGTCAATATTTTCCGCCATGATATCTAATTTTGCATAAATATTTCAGAATAGGTGGTGAATACACACTCTGTTTCTCTCCATTTGACAATCTCTTCTCTATTGAAAGCCTGGATTTAAAAAAACATCAATGTAAGTTTAAAAAATTAAATTTAAAGACGATTCATATTTGCAATGGTATTTGCTAATCTTATGAAAAGTTTGTTTCAAGTGAAAAAAAAAAATTAAACTCTGCATACACACCAAAAACGTTTATTTTTTCTTTCCCAGTAATGTAAATATTGTAGTACATGTAACATTATCTAGAATTGCGAAACAGGGCAATGATTTGAAGTTTTCTGTCAATAACATGTGCATTGATTAGAAGTAGACATTTAATAACTGTTCATTAAAAATATGCATTGAACTGTAAAAATTCGGTTTTCTATCTTGGATCGGTACTGTATAACTATACAATAGAACCATTTTCAGAAAAAAGGCATTTCTCATCTCGCCATAAGGCTATTCCTATAAAATAAACAGAAAGTAGAAAGGACAATGAAACAAACCAACCTGCTTCCTGTATTTCTAGTTTTACTCTTTCAGGTAAGAAAAATATGCTGTTTCTTATTCTGTTTTATTTAAATATATGTTGAAATAAAATTTCTTCAGAAAAATAAATAGCTTTATCATTTGACAGAAAATTGTCTATACTTCAAAATTTGTTCACCCATATCTAAGTGCATGTAAATATAAATGATATATATACCTCCCCTAAAAAGCCGAAGGACTAAATACCAGTAAGAGTGGTAAATTATCGTTACCTATCTCAGCAAACCTTAGCTGAAGATTCCACATCCATACTTCTTCCGCGGATATTTTTCAGATATCAAAAATCGCCCCACAACTGACTTAAACCCAGGGGCTGCCAAATATTTTCAAAAGTTTGCTGACGAAGTATAGTTGAGCCTTGTTTAAGAAATTGTTCATACGTGAGCATGCTCTAGCGTATCGAATCAATTGAGAGATATAAACCCCGTATGCAGGTGATAAGGGTATATTCCTGCATAAGTAAAGGAATTTGACGATTGAAAAGTTAAAGTCATCACGTTTAGCATAAAGCTTTGTTGTTAGATTGTTAGATTACTTTTAGATTACTTTTTCTAATAAAATATCCAAATATGAAACGAGAGATAGATACAAAAGCTTGTTTCTATTAAGGAGGGATTCTTGTCTGGTTTCTGACTAGATGAAATATTCATTTTATATTTGCTTATATCTTTTATATATTTAAATGTAAGAGATTTAAAAGATCATATTTTTCTTTCTTCGTCACAATTATACAACTTTAAATAGAAATGGTAAACTTAGTTTGAAATCTAGCAGGGACTATATTTTTGGGGGAATGGTGGCGTATGAAAATATCTTCCTTTCTGCCTCTCAAAATTATTATAGAACAATGAATTTAGTTAAAATTTTTACACAATCAAAGACTTGAAGAAATTTTTAGATGTAAGTTAAATCAATAATAAGGGACTAAACTTTTAAAATATATCAAATAAATATGATTTTACAAACAAACTACAATTATGTTAGCTTTTAAAAGCTTCCAATCTAAGTACAGATTTGAGCCAAAAATCCATAAAAAGTGTTTTTCTCTCTTAGCAAACGATCAAACTTTTTGTTTTTATATCGTTTTGTGTCTTTATGTGACAACTTTACCATATGTGAAAATAAGAAAAATTTAAATATAGGAAGCATATAAAAATAACTTAAATATCCTAAAAAATTAAGAAAAATAGAGAAAATTCGGATTAGGCAATATCCATTTTAGTTAAATTATTTATGTCAATTTGGTAATATCATCTTATAGACACTCTATGGTAATATCTCTTTATACAAAAAGAAAAATATTTAATGTTTTGAAATAGAAGAAGGCATCGCATGACTGGCAACAGTATTTTTTTTATTCTTAATATCCAGGGAAAAGGTAATGACCTTGACCTGACCTTACCTCTAATATAAAACGGTCAAATTTAATCTAACTAATACCATCTCTTAGTGATATTGTCTTCTAGATTCTGTGAGAATTTCATTGATTTTTAAATACTAGAAATATAAAAAGAATCCCTCCTTAAACAGTTCATCATAAATTATATTAATAATGAAAAAGGTGAAGTTAGATACTAAGTTAGATACACAGATTTCAATATCATGAACATTATTTAATGGGTTAACGCACAAAATAAATCAACCATTCGAATTATGTATATTTAATACATTTAATATATTGGATATATATTTGATTGCTGTGGTAAAATTTAGAAATTTATTTGAAAATTAAGGATTATCTCCCGCATACATAGCTCTGATCCTTCGACGTATTTGACTCCAGTCTTTGGCACCTTTTTTCAGCTCTTCCAAGTCTTTTTTATTTAAATATTTTGGATTTCAAACGTTTCGGCTGGAGCATCACTGAAGAGACAGAATTTGTGGAAATGCGCATCTGGTGCATTAAATTGGTACCGATTATGATTTACATTATGACCCCGGGGTCGAGGCCTCTGCTGGTGGACTGCTAGTCCCCGAGGGTCGCTACAACCCAGTAATCTAGTACGTCGGTACAAGCTTGAAAATGCAGATATATATTTAATTGCTGTGGTAAAATTTAGAAATTCATTTCAAAATTAAGGATTATCTCCCTCATGCATAGCTCTGATCCTTCGACGTATTTGGCTCTAGTCTTTGGCACCTTTTTCAGCTCTTACAATTCTTTTTTTTTTTTTTAAATATTTTGGATTTCAAACGTTTCGGCTTCAGCATCACTGAAGGGACATAATTTGTTGAAATGCGCATCTGGTGCATCAAAATTGGTACCGTATATGATTTACATTATATTAATAATGAAAAAGGTGAAGTTAGATACTTAGTTAGATAAACAAATTTCAATATCATAAACATTATGTAATAGCTTAACGCACAAAATAAATCAACCATTTGAATATTTAAAAGTTTAATACAAAATACGCAAGTATATATCTTACCTATATAAATAAGAGGCAGAAATAAAATTATGTTTCGGCTGCTGAAGAATCCTATCTCTGTTCCTAGCATTTATCCCAACTGACTTTCATTTTGATTTGAATTTAAAACTTATATTTCTTCATCCAAAACCCTAAAATTTTAAATGTACTTTTAATTTTGTGTTTAATTTTATGTATATCATTTATTCTTCATTATTTCATATAAACAAACAAGTGATGGTCATTCGCACCAAACAATTCGACAACATTCTTATTCTGAATAGAAAGATTAAACAAGCTATGATTATATACACAAACTAGTCACCCTTAAGGAACTTTACGTTAAAGCAATTCATTTGTTACTTTTCCTCTTAGGTTTAAAGATTCTGTCATATTTCTATTTTAGGCTTTTTCTTATGATACTATCTCAAACTAGACCTGCAACATCATTCATTCAAATTCAAACTAGCCCCGCAGCAACACACACATATATATATATATATAGAGAGAGAGAGAGAGTTGAGAGTGTGAATGTATGATTTTTTATGAACTCTTTCCTCAAAAATAATTTGATTTTTCAAAAATATTTTAAGGGCTTTATTTCCATATAAAACAGGTAATCTATGCTCATACATAGTCTCTGACCCAGCATCATAAACCATACATTGGGATTTAACTCAATAGCTGTGTATACATCTGCATAAAAATCCTTACAAAGATACATAGCGGGTTTTGTTACACCGAAAAATTACTCGCTTTGAACAATCTTTTCAAATTGCGTTAAATTTGGAAAAAAAGTTAATGCATTTTGAAAAAAAAAAAATCTTTTCAAAGTGCGTTAATATCGACCACATTAACGCCATTTTCAAAGTTTTTAAAAAGAATGTGCACGACTTGTGTCAAATAAAAAAAAATGTTGATGCAATCACTATATTATTAACGCACTTTGAAAAAAAAAATTTCAAAGTGCGTTGATTTTGTCCCAGATTTAATGCACTTTGAAAAACATTTTCAAAGTGCATAATTTTTTTCAAAGGGTTCCAGTAAATGCTCTACCACGTCTCTTTCTTTACTCCTCACTAAAATACTAACGGCAGTGAAGGAGAAACTTCAAGAGTACTGTACAACAATATATTCGAGAAGTGGTGTAAATCAGATGTGGATACTTAAAAACTCCAATGAACTGTTAGAAAATTTGAAATCAGTAACATCAAAACTTTTCAACTTTTCAACACTTTATACAACCATTCCCAGACTTTTTGACATAAAAAACAGCTGCTTTTTAAATAAAAATGGAACTTGTAAAATTACTTACATTGTCATTGGTCATTTGCAAAATTATTTTGAAACATTCTGATTGTACACACAAATACTCCGAAGTTGAGATTAAAAAGATGCTTGAGTTTCTGATTGACAGTATCTAGGTAGTGTTTGGAGATCAAGTCTTCCAACAATCTGTCGAAATTCCCATACGTACCATTGCGGCCCTTTATTAGCACACCTATTCTTAAGTTAATATGAAGCAAAATATATTCAAAAACTTCTACAAGAAAAGAAGAAACACTTTCTGTAGTCTTCAACTCGACATTTCGATACATCGACGATGTATTATCAATTAGCAATAGTTACTTCAATTCATATGTCGACTCGATGTATCTCAGTGAACTTGAAATAAAAAATACCACAGAGTTTGACACATCTGTTTCATATTTGGATATCTTACTAGAAAAAACTTTAATTGTAACCTAATAACAAAACTCCAATCGTCAATTTCCCTTATTTATATAGCAAGATACCCTTATCACGAAAAATTTCAAAAACCAGGCAAGCTATTGACAAACAAGTTGATGAAACAAGGATATGAACGGTGTCGTTTGAAGTTCACAGTTCTATGGTCGATAAAATGCCCTTGTTAGCAAATACAACCTATAATTAAATCGAATGCTAACTGACGTTTAGGCCATTATTTACACATTGATTGTCTACGGACTTTTTCCTTTTGCCCGATCTTGACAAGGAGCACACGGCTAGTGTGACCGGTCGACAGGAGATGCTTACTCCTCCATGATACCTGATCTCACCTCTGATGAGGTCCGTGTTTGCTCTGCTCCAAATTTGTATTGTTTTAATGACATTTTGAGCTTGATTACTATTCGTTATCTCCATATTCCATTCTGTATATTTGAAGAAAAAAAATTAGTTAAATTACACTTATATTCTCGTTTTCTATGTGTGGATAATAAATGCATTAATTCATCGTAATATGTCATTTACTTTATTAATCCGTCATGGCTTTTTCAAAGAAAGGTAGATTATTGGGATATCTGCATTTTTTAAAAATCTTTTTCAGCAAATTCTGCAAAGTGATGGTCAAACCGGGTTTCTTAAAGCTACCGTTCATGGCAGAAAAGTATATGTTGCAAGATGTCCTACTTCAAAATACATAAACAATGGAGAATGTGTTGATCAGTGCCCTCCATTCAAAATTTCAATATATAATGGCTTTGCAAAAATATGCGTTACAAGAAATGAGATGTCTTTTTGTCCGGTCGGTTCTTGCGAAAAGTTCTGCTACAAGCTAGAATGTGTGAAGATGTGTCCATATTATACTTTTGACTTCAACACATCATGTATTGCACAGTGTCCCAAAGATGCCAATTTCGTAGAAACTCTTAACTGTGACGATGATTGCTATTTTGTAAGGAAAACATGCTTTTCAAAATGTCCCGATTCTTACAATTACGAGATGAATACACCTTTCTTCACTTGGTGCTTAAAACAATGCCCATTACACACCGTTAAGAATAATTTTACTTGTGAACTCTCGTGCAGTTCCGAT